AAGAGGGGCGGGGGGTTAGGGGGCACATATTGAGAAGGATCTTCAGAGTACTCACAGTTTCTTTGCAGCTGTGTTTCAGTGGTGTGTGTAGACACCTCCTGCTCTGGAGCTGCAGACGGGGGAGGACGGCGGGTGATGTCCAGGCCGGATGGGCTTTGCTGAGAGACGGAGAGGTAATAAACCAACTATAAAGCAACACCTCAACTTTTATGACCTCATGGCCCTATCCTCAGGAAATGAAAAGATATAAAGGCTTGAAAACAAACTTACCAATCTGTGCCGAGAATCCCCTCCTGGCCATGTTTTTGGCTCGGACAGCCTCCTTGATGCGTTCCACCTCCTGCTGATAGCGCTTGCGATCTCTCATGGCGTTCTCCTTTGCCTCCTTCAGGGCGTTCTCCAGGGCTTTGACTCGCTCAGCGGTGGCTCGCAGACGCTTCTCCAGCTTGGGCAGCTCGCAGCGAAGGTCCGCGTTGTCCCGCACCAGCTGAGGGACACAGCAGGGTTCTCAATGCTCGTCGCCTTAGTGAGCGTGGAGGTCAAGCGTTACGGTTTGGTGCCGGTTCCACGTTCACCTGCTTGTGGACCTTGGTGAGCTGCTCCAAGTTGTTCTCCAGGAAGGAGATCTTCTGTTTCTGGGCAACGTTGCCCAGGCCCTCCTCACAGTCCAGCTCTGCACTCTTAAAACACAAAACAAAGGAACAAAACACAGAGTCAGGAAAAAAAAAAAAAAAAAAAAAACGGGGGGGGCCCCCCCCCCCCCCCGCCCCACCAGTGTGAAGTGTACCTTCTTAACTCGGGTGGTGAGGTCTTGAATGAAGAGTGTGCGCAGGTTGTGCAGAGTCTGCAGCTCTTTGGCCTGAAAGAACAGAGAAATTCACGCCTGGAAGCAGAGGAGGGCCAAGCAGCTGCTTATGCCCCCATTACCACTGGGGGGGGCACATGGGCAATTTAAACAGGAGTAGTTCTTTGTTTTCTTCTTTTTTTGGCACGTTGGCAAAAAATCATGTTGATAGACAGCTGCTGCAGGCCCACTGATTCCTATTTCTAAGTAGAAATTTATTTGTTCAATTTGGGCTGAAACCAACAGTCGCATCCTTCCGTAAACCCAACCTGTAAAAACTCACCACAGTCTCTTCCAGACCCTTCAGCTCTTCTCTGGCCTGCTCCCTCTGTTCGTTCATCAGCCTGGAGGCAGAAAATCAGACCATTCCCAAATGAGCGGAAACAGCGGGATGGGCTCTGCGTTCGAGTCGGCGGAGGTGCCATTCTTACACGAGTTCCTGCAGCTTGGCGTCCTTCTCCCGCTCCCCTGCTTTCAGTTTTTCGTAGTCCCACATGAGCCTCTCCTGCTCCACCAGCAGACCCTGGTTTAGACTGAGACACACCAGCTGTTCAGACGTTCTTTTTTTACCCCAGCATCTTTGATGGAAAGTTTAGCTCAAACGTGAAAGTCGGGAGTTGCGACTAAACTTTGGAAATGTATCTTTGATTACTTTTCTAGGGGTGTACAATCTTTCCTTTAATGCTTGCTTAGAAATGTGGAGGCTGACTGTGAGGTCGGGCATGTGCATGTTCAGTAAACTCATGTTCAAGAATGGGTGAAAGAATGTCAAGATAGGTGACAGCATTTAATCACTCATTGTATTCATATGTGTGTGTTTTTATATGGTGTGAGCTTAAGACTTTGTGGAATGCTCTTTCATGCTTTTTATCTGTCCGTTTCTGTGAGAGTTGGGTTGGCGTTTTCCTTACTGTGTCAGCTCATCCAGCATCCTCTGCTTGTCTTCTATCTCATCCCGGAGGCGGCCGAGTTGCTTCTGATGAGCCTCCCTGTGGCTCTCCAGCTGCTCCTCCAGTGTCGTCTGAAGTTGGAAAGACAGCACAGAGACAAAAATCTCTTGGATATCGGATCGGCGACGCTCATCAGCTCCCAGCTGTGAGTTTGCTTCTTTTACCTTGATGTCCTCGTTTCCATCCTGCCTGTTGGTGTCCTCTTTCTCGTCTCCTGCTAGCTCATGCATCTTCTCTGAGGAAGAGTTGATATGGGAATAGATGGAAAATTATTTGGGTGTCCTGAAGATCTTCTGTTGTGTAGGATCATAAAGAATTAAACATTAGTAGAGGACTGCAGGATTTTTACTATTACTAACCATGAGTCTGCAGTTTTACGAGCTCCTCTGTCAGAGCATCCTGACTCTCCTCCAGCTGCCTCTTCTTCTGCTCCATGTTCTGCATGTAGTCGGTGAGGGACTTGATCTTGGCCTGATGCTATATGAACAACGCCTTGTGGTCATTTTACTGCAAACCGAGGCTGGTAAAAATGCTTTTTGACATTTCCCAGTTTCAACGCACCTCATTCACATCAGGGCACCATTTGCGGGCCTGAACAAGAGGTCTAATTCAGAAAACCTGTAGGACAGCAGCCCTCTGGGACCCAGGAAATACCTGCGAGATGAGCAGCTGACAGGACGCCAGCTCCTTCTCATTGGCCTGGATCTTGCGATGGGCGTCGGCCTGGGTGCTCTCCAGCTGCTTGCTGCGGTTCACCAGTGACTTGATTTCAGACTTCATCTTGCTGATGTACAGGCGGGCAATGGTGAACTCCTCCTCCACGGCTAAGCCGTTTCCCTTGGCCTCCGAGGACTGAGAGAGGATTCGGAAGGGATGTGTCACTCTTAAACTGCGCTTGTGAGCTGCATCTAGTTTTTTTCCTGTTGTGATGTGTAAGAATGTGTGCGAGATGCATCGTCACCCCTGCAGCCTTGGCGTCGCTGGTGCCGATGATGGCTCCGATGTCGCTGAGGTCGCGGAGCAGCAGGTTAAGCACCTCGGCAGCTCTCTTCCTCTGCAGGCCGTTGAGCTCCTGCAGCTGACTCAGCTCCCGCTGCACCGCCGACAGCATTGCCTGTTGGAAGATCAGCGCATGCTGCGTTATGGTCATTCGATTCTTTTAAGAACACAATTCAACAGAACATTTTCCCCATCTTTCTTTCTTTTTAGACCCTTTGACAGAGAGGTCCTCAACCCCACCGTCTTCTGCTGCAGCTCCTCCGTCAGCTGCAGGTTGGCCTGCTCGCGCTCCTCCACCTCTTGGCTCTTCTGGTCGTAGTTGACGGCCAGCTCCTCCAGGGCCTGCAGAACCTCCTTCACCTCCTCCTTGGCCAGCTCGTTCTCCGTCTGCAGGCGGCACAGCTCCTCCTGGATCTTCTCATGGTCACGCCGGGTCGATGCCAGCAGCTGCAAAGGCGCAGCGTGAGCAGGCAGACCAACACCGGTGGGCGCCAACTCTGCCCCAACTAGTCCACAAACCTCCTCCTGGTCCATCATCTGCTCCTTGAGTTTCTCAGCAAGCTGACTGTGTTGGTTGATTTCATCATCCTGTAGAAACAGAGGAATGAGGAAGTCAGTAAAACAACAATTGCACTTGATAATGTAAAGAAATCAACCATCTTTAATCACTGGCAGCTCAGACTTGTAAATGCTATTTTCCATCTAACCTGAAGTTTGAACATGTAGATAAGTTAACTATAATAGTGGTGGGCCTTTCAGGTATTGGCTCTTTGGGAATGCCTTTTATTAATTTAGCCATTTGATTCGATATGATATGATATTTTTTAAAGAGTTTGGATTACCCCTATGCTTCGGGTTTGAGCACTTGTTTGCCGCTTCATGCACCAATTTGTGCTGAATCGGCTAAAGACGAATTTATTTAGTTTTTAGGCTTTTTCCATTGAGATCTCATCAGTTTTTGCACTTTTGAAATAAAAGGCAATACAAAAAGCATGTACGTGGCAGACTTTAAGATTATCTCTTCCAGGATTAAATTAAAAACAGGTTTTCAGGAAAGGGATTGCCCCAAGAGGTCCTGATTAACAGTGGGCTTCACCGCATAATTTCTTTTTATGAACTTTTCCACTAAACATTCTGTGTTTTTTTGGGGGGGGTTTGCGTCTTTTCTGGTTTGAGTTGGTTTTAGATTGCCATCCTGGTGCTGATGGAAAATATAAGGAAACAAGATATGTCGGGCTAACCTTGTCATCCAGCTGTTTGTACAAGTTGCTGATGTCCTCCTCGTACTTGCCCCTCTCCTCGCTGGACACAGACACTCCCCCTGCACTAGGCAGCAGGTTGTCGATAACGGGGGTGTTGTCGTACGGCTCGGTGTTCTTCTGGTCTTTGGCGCTCAGCTGCTCCTCCTCGGGAACGTTCTCCCCTGTGAAGCACACTCATCTTTTAGATACCTTCCACCTTTGTTCTTGAAGAGCACGCTTTTAAAAGCGAATGAAAAAGAAGAATCCTGCTGATGGGGCCGGTGTGATCACACTAGTTTGTCTAATACTGTGGGCTGTAAAGCGTGCTGTTCAGATCTTCTCGAGTAATCGCTGACTTATTCAATAGAGGCTAAGGTCAATAGTGATGGAAGCAAAGAGGAAACGAGATGAAAGAAAAAATAATGAAAAAGTGATGAATCGCTGCCGTTAAATGGCTTGGCGTGAATCCAGTGTCTGACTCATGGCTGAAGTGCTGCATCAGCGTTATGCGTGCGTGTGCGTGCACATCTACGTGCATGAGGCGCAGGCCTGAGCTCATTTGAGTGTGTTATCAGCACCCACAAGGGAGTTTGACGTAAAAAAATAAACAAATAAATAAAGCCCACAATAGCCAGGAGCAGCATGAGGGGGAGGCGGGGTAAAGATCGTTGCTATGCAACAGAGATGGGGGGAAAAAAGGGAGGATGCCGTGGGGGAGACTGCAGTGTCAGCAAAGAGAGGGAAGCAAAATGCAGAACCCTACAAGAGAAATGAACTTTCACGGTTACACAGTGATGTTTAATGGTGGGTGTGGGTTGTGGGGATCTTGTTTTCAGGAGCATTGCTCATGTTTCTTCAAAAGTTGCCTTTATCCACTGGGGTCTTATTTCTTCTAGAACTTTTCCCCCAGAAATGAAATGTATCTGCTGCATATGGCAAACTTTGGGTGGGACTTGAACCAAGAATCCACAACATTTAAAAAAAGGGAGCTAATTCTGTGTAATTTTACCATTCCTCCAGCGGTTCAGTTCAGCCTCCAGCTTCTGGATGATATTTTTCAGGCCCTTGTTCTTTTCCTTCTCCTTCTCGTACTTCTTCTTCCACTCTTCGGCCGTCAGCTCCAGGTTCACGGACACTGTGTTCTTGATGGTCTTGGCTCTAAATGGACACAAATGTTAGCGGTCCACCAGCTGCTTTCATGGCTGTAACTTTCCTCTATTGAAATTTCAATTGAGAATCCACCAAACAGACCCTTCACATTCTGCACTGTTTTCTTTTAATTATCTCTGTACGACTATGCAACACTATACCACACAATGCTATACATATTCAGTTTATTACACATACCAAATTAAGCACAGATTTGCGAGAATCAAGTCTGGATTTTTTCTTGTGATATTTATTTATTTACTTTTGCAAATAAATGAAACCGTCTTCCTGTTTATGACCGAATTAAAGAAACAGATTGATGAAAAAAACCTTTGAGAAAATAAAATAGCCTGAGAAAGAAAAATAGGAGATGCTCACTTCTGTGGGTTAGACCAAGTGTTGGGAGACAAATAAACAAGAAGGCGGTACAGTGATGGTCTATAAATAGGAAGGAACCCAACAGAACAGTGGGGAAACTGAGCCATCTGGTTGTTAGAGGGCAGGACTGACGTCAACCACAGATCCTAATGAACCAGTGTTTACCCTCAGAGACAACACATGATGATCAAAGATGTAGCACTGTTGCTGACTTTCCGAACTCTGTTGACCCTCTACTAATCTCTAGTATAAACAGATGATTTAAAAAAAAAAAAAAAAAAAAAAGATTTGTTTAATGGGAATGCTTAGCTCTAGAATGAAGCCATATTTTCCCCTCTGACATATCTTCTGTTGTCATTCTTTATGTCTTTACAAAGGCAGCAGTTCCAAAGACTGATAATAGAAAAACATAAGTCCTGCTAACTGAGGCTGAGAAAAAAAAAGGAAAAAGAGAACAATTGTACTCAGCTACAGTTTTTCTGAGGGACAGCAACAGAGATTCACAGCTCGTTTACTGAAAAACATGAACATGTTTTCAAGTCTAGTTTTCGAGCAACTCATCCCTTTGAATACTTTAGTTTTCATTATATTGATTGTGGAGTGGTGCAACAATCATCATTGGTAAAAGTTGTCACATTAAATGAATATTTAGTGACTTCTGTGTGCAACTTGGTGATTTCTGGACATGAAAACAAAAGCCCCATGACGTGGTTTGGCTGCACATACCGCTGTCCGAACATGAGTGTGGACTTGGTCTCGGCCTCGTTGTAGACAGACGGCGAGGCGCAGATGATGATGGTGGTGCGACAGTTCCCTCCCAGAGAGTCCTGAAGGATCCGGGTCATCTTACTGTCTCTGTACGGCACGTGGGTTTTCTTACCGAAAAAAAAATGGACATTTTGTTTTCAAGCGTTCAACTCAGCGCTTTACGGCATGAAACGCAGAGCCGGGGGTAACTCACTGTTCCCTCGGCAAGGGCTGAGATGACGTTTCCCAGCGCTGATAGAGATTTGTTGATGTTCTTGGCCTCATCCAGCACGGCCCCTTCAGCTCCGGTCTTACTGACCTGTTCGGGCAGCCGGCTCAAACAGTTATACACCACACAGCTCGGTAGCTTTAATTTCCTTAACCTCTGTAGCAATACTCCGGCACCAACCTTCTCACTGCCAGCGAGGTCGACCAGGTAGAGTTTCCCTGACAGTTTCTTCTCCGTCTCGATGTTCTCCTGCTTGATGTTGATGAGGAAGATGCTGTGACTGCGAGAGCTGTGCTCATTCATATCTACGAGTTGAAGAAAATAAGCTGCATTTCAGCTGATGTGGAAAGTGCGGTTCGCTGTCTTTCTTAATTCTGAGATTTAAAAATAAAAGTTCAGGCTTGCTGCTGAAATTTAGACAAACGGGTACATACTGGTCACCGCCACGTGCCGGTTGGCTTTGCCCTCATCGATGACATCCATCACCTCCTCTGGGCTGGACACAAAGCGTTCAGTGCAGCCCTGAGACAGAGTGTTGGGGGAGGGGAGTTATAACCTGCTTTAAAAGAATTCCACCGCCTTTTTTATTCTGTAACGGGTATGACAGACCGATAGGGCATGAGGAACCAGACCAATAGGGAAGAGTTTATAGAATTTTGGCCCTTTTCTTTTGAAACCAGTTTAAGAATGAAACAGAGGAAGAATGCACTTCTATCCACTGATGACCATAAATTACAGTATAATGGAGAACATTGGATAGTTTTCTATTTTGTTTGGTGTGAATACATATGTGAGAGGGATTTTGTGAATAAATGTCTTAATTAGGGGGCAAAACTGAGATTTTTAAAGAGGTTTGATCATGTTTTTTGTTACATCAACCTGAACACAAGAGGAGCAGCTCTGCCGTTATTCCAAGGACCAGAGGTCCCTAATGAGCTTGAACAACCACAACAATGTGATAAAGGCACACCACACTCTGCAATCATGTATTCTTGTAAATGAAAACCAACCTTAACATACGGAACTCTGTTTTTGTCTTCGTGCACGGCGAGGTTCGTCTTTGACACTTCAAACAAAACAACACGGGGATTAAAAAGTGTCCTTTTGTACAAAAGTCTGTTTAAAAAAGTGGGGCTGAGCTCATATTTTGAGCTCGGCTGACTTACCGTCCAGCAGGTCTCTGATCTTGTCCAGGTAGATTTCAAAATATGAAACCTGCACAGAGAGAGCTCTGACTTTTTACTGCCTCCTCAACTGTATTTTTGACAACTAAAAAGTCAACAGTGTCTACAATTATTTCATGAAGATCATTAAACAGGCACTGCTCATTTAGAGGAAATAAAGCCGGTTTTCATATTTGACCAACAGGAAATCAGGGATTTGCCGGTTATAGGACAGAAATAATAAAATCAGAAAAAAACTATGCAGTGACATTGTGATTTTTTTTTTATCTGTTAGTTTGTAACCAGAAATAAACCCAGTGTCTTATTTTCTCGTGGATTTTTGTCCTGGTGATTAAAATGAGTCAACTTTTTCTCAACTATTTTTTTCATACCTTGATGTGAAACTCGAGGTTCTCATCCATGGAGTAGATGTGGTCAAAGATGTCGTGGGCAATGCGAGGTATGATTCCCATTAGCTGGGGGTTGTGCAGTTTCCCCTGAACAAAATAAAAACAAAGATGCCTTTGGGGCTCATTTGTACTGCTGAGCGATCTCTAGTGATGTAATCCTTGGACTTTGAGGCAACTCCCGGGTGACTTTAAACAGGAACATCTTGCTTCAAAAGAGGAATTAAAACTTTATGTAAAAGCCAGAGGTTAGAGATCAGACGAGGGGAATTAAAATGAGGATTTGGGCTTCTGTCTCTGTGGATAAGTCCACCATTTTAGATCATTTACGCAGATTAAATGGAACACAAGCAGATTTTTTTTCCCCAGTTCTGCAACAAATATTCTGCACAATCCACCGAGATCGTCTGTGTGAACAAAGAAAAAATGAGTACTCTTTTGGGTCGAGGGCTCTGCTCGCTTTACCATCATCAGTTTAAGACAATCCCTAATACTGTGCTATAATCCCCTGACTGTTGATCAAAAATTCTGATAAAAGTAAGGATTTGGACTTTGACTGATTATCCGCGCACGGTTTGACAGTAAAGCAAGCTCTGCAAGTAACCCCTCACCTCCATGGTGTGCGTTTTCCCAGAAGATGTCTGTCCATAAGCAAAGATGGTCCCATTGTATCCACCCAACACATCTAGGGGGAAAAAAACACAAAAATGGATGATCTTCACAGTGTTACTCATTCTTTGCCCTTGTAAACCTTTATAAAAACAGCTATTCTGAATCTGAACAAATCAAACTTCATTCTTGTAAATCTTTATCCGCAAATAAGATAATCTGAAGAATTTTAAGCAAATACAATACAAGAATGAATTTGGCAGAAACTATGTGTTTAATTTGTTCCAAGGATGGTCCCTCGTCGATTTCAAATGAAAATAAAAGGTTGTTTCTACAGTAGACACATGAAATGAGAGTGAGCCGAAATGCAATAAATGACCGTTTCCTAACAGCAGTGTCATGGCTTCTTGGTGCTTACCTTTGACTATCTGTTTGGCACACTGGTCGTACACTTGTTCTTGTGAGGTGTTGGGAGGCAGCACGCGGTCAAACACGTATGGTTTACCCTGTTCCGGTGAAAGGAAAATGGAGAGAGATCTTTAGGAATTATTATTTCATGCCATCACCAATTGGCAACAACAACTCAAATATGTCATCAGGTAAAATGTCTCTTATGTCAGAACCTGTACTCCAAAGTTTTTCCTATTTTCTCCAATGCATTTAAAAAAAACCTTCTCATAGTGTTGACTCCCTGTTTCACTCATGTTGGAAACCTCCAACATGTTCCCTTTTTCCCTTTCCTTCCAAAAGCTAAATAAGGTCAAAACACAGCCAAGCATACGTATTGTTTCCAAAATCAAAAGAAAATCTGACTTCAATAAAGAATACCATACAAATGGATAAGAAAATATATTAATTGAGATGCAGATTCTTGCTAAATGTAGGCTTTGAAAAAAAGTTGGCATTGTTAAGATACTCTCATTTCAATAATTTGTCTAAAGTCATTTAATTTACTGAAGAACACAAAAAAGGTCACTTTAGAGCGACTAGTACCCACATCTCACACTCAGAAATTCATTAAAAAAAGAATACCATGGGCCGCAGCTGTAGCGTAATGGTTACAGCGGGCGGACCATATGCGGAAACTCTGCTCGCAAGCGGGCGGCCTGGGTTCGAATCCGGCCCACGGCCCTTTCCCGCAGGTCTCCCTCTCTCTATATCTGCCCCCTTTCCTGTCCAGCTACTAGCATTAAAGGCCACTAGAGCCAACAAAATCTAAAAAAAATAAATAAAAAAAACCCACAAAAATTCAGCACATGTGATTGACACAGAGATTAAAATTGTAATAATAGCTCCAATAATTAATCCAAAAGATTAAGTCATTTATTTTACCCAAGAATTATACAGACCATAATTATATATTTTTCACATTTCTTTATTGTTAAGTTTTTAAGAAACCTCGTGAGCCACTGAGTACACCCCCCCCTGCAAAACAGTAATTCTGTCTCTGAAATGTTTAGAGAAGTTACACGAGGTATGCTCTGCATTTCAACGCTCCAGTAAGTTTTTAGGTCTCTCGCTCGAATCATCCATCACTTCTCCAAACCCGGGTCAACGCTTGTCTTCACTTCTCTGGGGAAAAAAATCCTGACTGCAGAGAAAAGGCAGCTCTCAGCACTTACAGGTAGCTGCTGCAGCAATTTGCTGCCTCCGAAGCCCAAAATAAATCAGTGGAACTCCTGACGTGAACAGGAGGCAGTGTTATTCATTGAGTCTTTGTTTTATATCTATAGGGTTCATCCTAACACATAGCAAGTGTCTGGGTCTTTTTTGCTTGTTTATTTGAGGATGTATGAATGTTGTGAGTATCAGACAGTTAAACTCTGCTAGTAATCCGAATACTTCTTAAGGAAGTGTTTTTGTCCTTTCAAGGATTTCTGTTGTTTCTTTAGTAATTTGGCTAAAACCAAGTCCAAGGTCTCAGCATGCCGGCAAACATGGAATCGGACGCAATCAGAGGTGTCCAACCCCGGTCCTCCAGGGCCGCTGTGCTGCAGGTTTGAGATGTTTCCCTGCTTTAAAACACACGATTCTGGCCAAATGGATCTATTCAAAGGGTCTCCAGTAGCCCGAAAATGGTGCACTTGTGTGAATAGGTGTGTGCAAAGAAGGAAAACGACAAAGCCTGCAGGGCAGCGGCTCCCAGAGAATTTGGACTACAGAGGGCTCCATGTATAATTATCAAAAACCGTGGACTTACTTTTTATAAAACCTGTGGATTTATCAAATGACTTAATCGAAAAAATGTTTGATAGCATTAAGACGCATTAAAGTCGCGACTTTTCTCCGTCTTGTCAGTGTTGCTTAATCTAACTGGACCAACACCTCCTCTTCTTCAAAACGTGTTGAATGCATTTGAGGATGGAAGATACAGTCGTGGTGCAGCCTAGGTGTTTGCCTTTACCACCCTTTCACTATCTTTTTTTCCCCCGTAGTTTTACAATGAAACACAAGTTTGACATTGCTGTAGATTCTGGGTAGGCACTGGCACCCCTCCCTCTCTGCAGAGCTTCACCACCTTCCCCCTCTGTGTGCGGACCTTCCCGCACGGCAACGAAAGCGCCAGACTTGCCGTTATCACCACGGTGTCGTCCTCCTTGAATTTGGGGATGTACTTGTCTCCTCTGTTGATCTCGGCCTCGTTCAGGGGCCTGAAGCGGCACATCACCCTCACCCCGCACTCCGCCGCATCCACCATGGCTGCTGATGCTGATGCTGCTGCTGGCACCGCTTGAGACTGCTGCAAATCAACCCTACCACAAACAAACAAACAAGCAAGCAAACAAACAAACGGCGCACGAAGGGGCGCAAAAAGTGGCGGAATTCCGGTGCGGCCTTTGGGGGTTTATTCTGCGGACGACTCAGAACACAGAGCTCGCTTTTACGATATTTTGTAAATAAAAGACAGTCAAATCATTAAAACGTCCGTATCCCTCGTTTCCGCACCGTCATTTAAGCCAGCCGAGCGGTTCCGACTTTTCCTGACTGCGACATGACCGGACGAGGGGGAGCCGCAGCGCTGCGTCCCGCCGTGGAGAAATCCCGAAATTCGGTTAGCGGGGCCTCTCCGCCCTCCCGCGGTGTCACCCCCAGCCCCCTTGCTGGCCCGGGCTGGAGGATGCGGGGACAGCTCGAAAGGAGATGCCCGGTCTTGCAAGGAGAAGAGCGGAGGAAGGTGCGCATCCGTGCGCAGCAGCTGCAGCGAATAGGCCGTTAATGAAGGCGCGCGCCCGCGCCATGCCGGGCCGCGCGCCTGTACCCTGCATCAGCACCATAACGGTCACGTGCACATGAAAAGGGCTGAGTTACGTTGCGTTAATTTTAGTGGAAGAGCAAAACAACACAGGCTGACTGCTTGTGAGAGTAATTCCCTGTTGTACGCAATAGTTTTGGAACATAGGGATTCCTGGAATTGTTTGTCACGCTTCAACATATTTTCGAGTAAATGTTGGCCCCCTAACGTATACGTGATTAAGCAATTGTTTTCGAATGATTTTTTTAGTTGCTACGAAATGTTCAAGCTAGGTCAAACGGTTGGCAGCTGCAGCTACAGGCATTAAACAGGTTACGGAACAAGACAAAAACAGACTTTAACCACATTTTTAACAGTGTGAGATTATACATACGGCAAAATCCCGTTGTGTGTAAAAGTAGGCTTTAAAGGCCTTACTCCTCGGCTTAACTAACATGAAAAACTGAGTTTGGGAACCTTAGCTTGTTAGCTGTGTCAAACGTCGTTTGCATCCAGCACACTACAGCTTCACAAAAGTCACGTGATCACCGACCCCAATTTGTGAAATACTATTCAAGCTAGGAAACTATTAAACCGACTTATTACAGGAAACTGCCATCCTTGCCAACTGTTTGTTTATATTTCTTAAAGGTGGAATATTGAAAACAAATTGTATTACATTATTAATTAAACATGTTCTGTTCCATTTTTATCAAATATCCTTCTGCTACGTTACTCTGGTGGTTTATTCATCTTTGCATTGGAGGCATAACTTAATTATTTCACCATGTAACTCCACATATCCTCTACTAACTTTAGAAATGTAACGAGCATGCATTATGTTTTCACTAGAGGGCAGTGTGGAATAAGAAATGCCCCTCTACTCTTTACCACTCCATTCCATCGATTTCATAACGAAAACACGAGAAGCCTAAAAGAAAACTACCTGCTACACACACACGCGAGACAAAACCAGATCATGCGAATAAGAGTGAACATGGTTTTAATATCTTAAACATCTGTGCAACATTATTCAAAATGTTACATCACTGCATGACTTGTAATGTTTCACAATATTTACAAAAAATGCTGCTTACATCAAACCATTAAAAAAAGTCCAAACAATCTCAAAATAATGGACTCTGACAAACTATCCCTAGCCCACATTAATGCAAAAAGAAAAAACAAACAAGAGCAATCAAGTGCACATCATACTTCACGCAAGTCTATTTTTTGAAAAGTATATATTAGTGAGAAAATATATACTCAATTATAAGCTGATGAAACAAAATACTGACAACAGATGGGTAAAAGATGGGGATGGGATTCAAAGGGCAGAAAGACTTATTTACCGGAGAGCAAAAAAAAAAAATTACACTCGCACACACACACGCACACACACGTATCGCAGGAAGCAAGGGGGGGAAAATAGACTGCACAGACCACCTCAAACACAAAAATGCTTTGATGTTTTGACCATAGACAACATGAAACTGATGAACACATCCATAACACATGGGCTCCTGATACATGACCAGGCTCCTGCACGTCATTGCACCAAAAACAAAAAACAAGAAAAAAAAACTGACAAAAATAAGAGACGGGGCAGAAGAGCAGAATGAACTTTACCAAAAGAGCTCAAGTGACTTTTAGAAAAATCTGAAAGTGTACAAGGCTAACTCAGAGGCTCTGTGTTTCCAAATCAAGATTACTGGGGGGTGGGTTTTAAAGCTTGTCTGCACATCTAAAAACAGCTCAATATTAGTGTTTCGATGCTTGTGAAGACTGGAGAACATTTTAAATGTATTAGTGTATAATTTGGTTCTATGTTTATCACTATCTGCACTGGAACTTTTGAGGCGGCCTTTCCTCTTGGAAAAACTGGGTGAAGTGCCTTAATATAGTGACATTTATTTGGGTCTCTTAGAGATTTTCACAGGCTGTGATAGGATATGAACCCTAAATGATACCTCAAGATTTTTTAGTGCTTGTGGCAAAAAAATAGTAAAAGGAAAAGAAGATTAGTGTCAGATTCTTTGAGTGCATCAAAGAAGAAAACGGGCAACCTACAACGGGAAATTTTGCTGAAAACGTGTAAGAAAATACGTTTCTGAGCAGTGGATCTTTGCTGTTGATCAGTTTATTGCACTTGGTATTTTCGGTAGTGATTTCAGGTCATTGTTGGTCGGTTTTAATCAGAATGAGCAGCTGTTTGCGGATGTCTGTTCCATAGTCGTCATTATACTGTCACAGATTTTTCCCTCTGTAGTGTTAAAACAGCGTTCTTTCACTCCATGTCTGCCTTTCTAAAGATGCATATTCATAAATAACATGGTTCTTACCCAAGAAACCTATGACACAATCTATAACACAAAGTAACCAGAGAGTCTTGCTGTAAAAAAAAAAAGTGTTATCTGTAACGCTTACTTCTTAAATTAAACGAGAATATGACATTTAGTAATAGACTTCAGATACATGATCTATTCACCTGTTAGAAAAGAAACAAACTGAAAAACATACATATATACATATAAGGCTTGAGTTCTCAACTCATGGTAGTATTATTGCCATCTATCATATTTGTAAAGCTTAAAATAAATATGGAGTACTGTACATAAATAATTTACATCAACAATAAAAAAGAGGAATAAAGGCCCCTAAATGCAAAAAATAAAATAAAAACCTTTCGAGTTAGTGTTGTTTTTCATTATCTAGACTCCGCCTGAGGTTGGTTTCTCTACCCAAAGCTATAGTTCTGACAAAGATTACAAAGAAAAAAAGAAAAAACAGAAACAAAAAGTCCCTGTACAAACAAGCAGAACACAATTACAAAAAGATAACTCCCAATTTCATTGATGCAACCTGTGATTTGCACTTCAGAAGGAAAAACCCACCCGAAAGAGAGCTCTTCCTCTTGTTTTTGGAGTCGCAATGCATCCAACGAAATGGACATTTCCTATAAAACAAGAGGGGCTCTGACTTTGTCCCTAATTTGAACGCATCCATGCGGATTAAAACACAAGGTGGATTTTTCCTTCCTAATGAAACGAATACTCAAAAAAGTATATGAGAGAAACGCCCCACTCTGGGAAACACCGAACACTTCCTGCTGGTAAAGTTCAGTCTGTTCATCCCCAGTACAAATCAACTGGTGTGAAGTGATTATTGTAATGGAGGACTCAAACACTCATGCTTGTCCACTGCTGCTGCCCCCCCCCCCCTCCCCCATAAAGCAGAAGAAAGAAAATATTACAGTTCGTCATATAAAAGCTTTAGGCTGTACTCTTATTTCTCCTATCTAATGCGGCCGTACGCAGACGCATTTCTGAATAGAAACCAAGACATTGGTACACTTCTTCTGCTTTGTTTTTGTACAATAAAAGATAAAATGTGCATTAGGTACGCTTGTACATGACAATGTACAATATTTACATACAATTCTTAATAGCATGAAATTTCAGGATTATCTATATACATATTGAAAATGTATCAGAAATATTTGGACTGTCTATTTTTCTTAAATATGTAAGGTAATGCTTGTAGCTTTTTTTGTGTTTATTTTGCTATCTTATACTAGAAAAAAATAGTTAATTCAGTGAGCTGTAGACAAATTGCAACCGTTTTAAAGTCTTTTTTTTGTCTTTTTTCGTTTTTCTCTACAGTTAAAACTGTATCGGGTGATTGGAATTTCCAGCACCTTCTCTGGTCAGTCATAGTCAAGTTGATATCAGGGAACAAAGATGTACCACTGAAAGTCCGTGTGTAGCACCTGTTAAAGAGCTCAGATCGCATCAAAGCTGAACGGATGAAGTCTTCCGAAAGGCTTTGAGGACGTTCTTGGGCCGACACATTCAATGTTATCTGGATATCTTCCTCCTTTTGGGCTTAGGGAGCTTCACCTGTCGATCCATTGACGGGATCTGATAACGGACAGAAGCATTATGACGTCAGCTGGATGGGAGGGTAAAACTGATGTCTGTTTGAAAAAACAAAACGACAGAAAAAAAAGAAAAAACAACCTAAAATACTCACAGTGCCCGACATCTTATCTAGTTCGCTCATGGCCTCGTGGATAGCAGCTTCCAAGTGATTATTCAGTTTCCCCGGTCTGTTGGACAATATTTACATTTCACATTATTTACATTTAAGCTGATGCAACCAGGCAGGGATTCAGGTGATTTTGCAGGACACCATCTTTAACCACTAGGTGTCAATGCTACCCTGGACAGACGGCAACAAAAGAACAGCAGGGGGGTCAATCAAAGCCCAAAAATAATAACATCAATTTAAAGCTGCAAATGTTGAAAAGAGTATTATCTATCATTTGGAATTTCTTACTTCAAGCCCCTTTTGGCCGCTCGGTCGAGTGCCTCCAAGTCGTGGGTTAGTGTTTTAAGCTTCTCCGGCTCTACCTGCAGAGAGATAAGAAAAGGGTCTGAATACGTACAGAGTTAATCTGTGCTCTTAACATAATGGAGTTAGGCTGATGTTCGGTGCTGTCTCTAACTGATAATTCGGAGCACTTCGGGATGCAGCTGCAACTGTGGCTGTTGAATCGGAACAAAAGCAGCCTTTCTCAAAACATGAACCTCATCTAAACTTACTCGGAAGACAGGGAAGAAAAGCCTCGCGCGAGCTAGGGCGAAAAAACTGCTAAATGCGGCCACGGGGAGTAGAGGCTGCTGGCAGGTAACTTTGGCGTGTGGCGTGTGTGCGTTGTTTTTCAAGCAGGAAATTTAATTTGGCTGCTGAAAACGATGACAGGTGGTCACACATGAGGGAGGCGTCTCACCTTGGCCTGCTCTCGCAGCTGCATAGCAGCGCTGTGCACTTGCTCGTCTCCAGCCAGCTTGGCGGGCCAGGGCGGGAAGCCCTTCAGCTGGCCCCACACCAGCTCTCCCATGTTGAAGGTCCGGGAGCGGTAGTGGAGCAGCTCTGACGAGGGGGAGTCCGGCTGCCGCAGGTCCTCCTCGCTGCTCAGGCTCTTTGTGTCCGACGGGCTGGGCGCCATCCCGTTGAAGTGGCCGTTGTAGTGGCTGTAGTCTTTGGCTGTGGCGAGGGGGCCCTCCAGGCTGGTGGAGGAGCTGGGCGACTGGTCGTCCCCCGTCAGCTCCTGCCGGGGGGGCCCCAGGACTTCGCCGTAACCCCGGGTGGTGAAGTGTGGAGTGGAGCCGTTGATATGGGCGCAGCGCTCCACCGTCTGCTCCAGACGTTCCTTGTAGTTAGCCGGCGTCCGGCTGCAGTTGTTGAACCGATAGGCATCGTCCAGGTAGGCCTTTTCGTGGGCCAGGGCCAGGCTGTGGTCGTTGGACCCCTCAGTGGGACACGGTACAGCAGGGGCCAGGCTGGCAGGTCTTTCTATGCAGGGACTACTTCTCACTTGGGTCGAGCACTCCAGGAACTCCTCGCCGCCCCAGGCGCTGTTGTTGCTGTGCGAGTCGAAACCTCCCCCGTGCTGCGTCTCCCCGTCCCACTGCCCTCTTGGCGTTCCACGCCCAGGGGATCTGAAGTAGTCGTTGGCCTCAAGGCCGTCTGGGGTGCTTTTCCCTGGATCCATGAGCTTCTGGCCGCGTCCCGGCCTCATAAGCCTAGGCCTGGCCTGCTGGACCAACACTTCGCCATCTTGATGGCCGTGCAGGACCGCGCTGACTGCTTGAGGGAGGTTGACTGGCTCCCCTATGGAGGCAGTGAAGGCACTCATAGCGCTGAGAGCAGGCACCGGGCTGGCCTGTGTGGTTCCGCTCACCGTGGTGGTGATGGTAACGTGCATGCCCTTGCTGGCGGCGTCCACCACAGCTCTGTAGATGGCATCCACCACCTCTGGGCCTCCGCCTGACCCCCGGTCAGAACCGGCGCCCGGGTGCGCCTCACCTTGGGACTGTTGTTCCTCCCCAAACGGTGTGTGCGGCAACACCCCCTGCTGAGGAGGCAAACGTCCATTTAGCAACGCGATTAACTTTGCTTAACCAAGGAGGCAGGAATTGAGCGGGATTCGGCCCACCTGGTAGTTCTGATAGAGGCAGGCCATGGAGCCCGCGGGGGCGCTGCTTCCGTCTGTGTAGGGCGGGTCATTGGAAAAGTGCTGCTGCCCCTGGTAGGCTGGGTGCTGCAGGCCCTGATGGACCTGCTGCTGGTACATCTGAGCGCCGCCGGCGTTGAGGTGTGGCTGTCGGGGGCCCATTCCACAGCCCATAGATGAGTTGCCTGTGAATCAATCAGGTCACACAACTTAATAAAATTAATAAAATCCCCCAATCACTCAATGTTGTGCCAATCTGACTTCAAGTTACTGGACCTGAGAGCAAAGAGATGGGAGTGATGCGATGAGTCCAGGGAAATCAATTATTGATCTAATTAAATATGTTACATGAAGGAAATCTATTAAATAATTACATTGTCATAGTTAGTGACATGACGGAACCAAAAGGAACCCAAAAAAAGGTGGTTAAAAGAGGTGGTTACATCTGAATTTTCAATTGTAATTACTTTTTTTTTTTTTCAAGCAACAGACAGCAAAAAATAAACAGTCTACAGAAAACTTGGGTATAAATTTTTGACTTAAGTATCTGTCCTATCTGGTCGTCCACACTGTGTTCGGTGGAATTTACACTCCTGAGCCTTCTGCTCCCAGAAAAAAAAAAAAAAAAAAAATCAAAGCCAAAACGGCGGAAAAAAAATTTTTGTTTTTTTTAAACTGGGATTTGAAATAAAAGGGAAAAAGTTCCACATTAACAATCTGTTGCGCCCCAAACTAACAGATGGACGCGTCTGCCGGATGAACGGTGCGGCCAGACTTGTTAGCAAAGCGTCCAAGGACAGAACATGAACAAAATACATCAAGGCCACAGATGTATCAATGAATGAGGAGACAGCCCGGCAGCAACGTAGTGCAGACAAAGCGGCAGCAAATACAAAATCTCAGAGGCCTGTCGTTGTTGTTGTGGGTGTGTGCGTGGACGAGCGGTGACTGGAGCAGCTGGTGCGATGCTACGTAGCTGAAGGGCAGCTGTGTGTGTTCTCCATTTTTTTTCTTTCCCCCTCCTCTTTTCTTTCCCCCCCCCCCCCCCCCACACCCTCCCACCCCCACCTTCCTCCTCCTCTCCAATGCTGAGAGCCACGACTCGGCCAACCCCCTCCCCCTTCCTCCCAACATCCTCTGCTACTGCTATGATATAGTGACGGCTGTTGCCGGGGGAGGTTGCCATGGGAACCGAGTGATGATTGGTGGTGCTGTCCGCTGCCAGGAAGCTTGTTGGGGGAGTTGGGTGGGTGGATGAGGGGGGGGTTAGGAGGGTCGGGTGGAGTGATTTTAGACTGCTGGGGGATGGGGGCGGTGGTCAGCTGGGTGGCAGGGGGTCCAGGGGGGGTTTACAATGAACTTTGGAGTATTTGTTGATGGCAAGAGCGGGAGTGTGCGTGTGTGTGTGTAAGAGAGAGAGTGAGAGAGAGGGATGGGGGTTCAAAGCTCTTTAGCTGTACAGAAACAGATGGTTAGAGGCTAAAGCTAAGACGCCACTGACTAGGCCACTTTCAAAGACTTTTCTCTGTTCTTAAGATCTTTAACACATTACCAAAAGAATGGGGGGAAAAATCCTCCAAAGCAAGACATCTGCTGTCTAGCTGAGAATTTTTTTTTTATCCTTTGAGCACTTTTGCCACCATGGAAGGATTTGTAAGAAGTCTATGATCTGATCATTGGTCTCTTTCAAGAATTTTAAGCTCCACACTACTATTTTGACCCAAAGATGTACACGTGTGCGCCAATATCTGCTGACTGAGAAGGGAATGGATACAGACACATTTTGTAACATAACAAAAGGAGATAAATAAAAAAAATGAAAATAAAAAAGAGAGGATGCCAGCCGGTGTGGAAACAGCAGATTTGGAGGATGTATTCTCAATGCATTTCAGCAAGCGGAAAAAAAGGTGCTGTACAAAAACAAACAAACCATATCTAAAAAAAACCCCCCGAAAACCTTGATTTGTCACACACGAATACTAGAGAACCCAAAAATGTATCTCCTCAAATGCAGCACCTCTGGCTCTGTGTAAACGGCTGTTACATAGCCTGAAATATCTGTAGGAAAAGGACTGCTTAGCATTTTCATGATAATCACCAATCATCAAAAAGGTTCTATGGAGCATGTCAGGATATTCAAAAAGAAAAACATGAGGGTGGGGGGTGGGGGTGGGGGGGTGGGGGGGGGTTGGGACAGGAGCTGGTAGCAGGCTGCTTCCCTTCTCTAGTCAGCACATTCGCTCCTTATGGTGTTGACTCAGGCAGACCTGAATGCACGTTCATGCATGTGACAATACATGCTAATTTCACAAATGTTTACAAACAGCCAAAGAAGAATCTGTATATTGTGACCCTAGTTCATCAAGCGCCCCTAAACTGTACCCACGATCTGTAAATCAGCTGATGGAAACATCTGTTTCTGACATCATCCCGAGGGACACACAAATTGGAAGAATCTAATTTGCACGATGCAGCAGTTTCTGCTTCCGAGTGGAGACACACGTCACGCTTTGCCTCGTGGCCTCGAACAAGACCGGCTGAATTTCAATGACTGGATGTGGGAGACATACTGAGTAACGGGACCTGGTGATAAGAACAGGTGGCCCGCGGCAGACCTTGCTGATCTCTCCGTTACAAACCATATGAGGACACACGGATGCTAAATGAATACATAAACCCAGCACTGTGCTACAGCAGGCAGGGAAAGGGGTTAAAAATTTAAAAATAAAAATAAAAACAAGATCTGGAACAAGAACAATCAAACAAATGTGAATGCACAGGCAGACACACACATTCATAAAGTCACACACAAAGTCATTCATATTCACACAAATAAACAGAGGCACACGCACAGTAATGCACAAGTAGTAACAGACATGCACAAACACACAGGCCTAAAACCCTCATCAAAGGCTTCACTCGGGTCTCTATTCAGGGTCTATCGTTACTATAGCGACCAGCTTGCTGGGAGAAGCTCTTTAGAGCTCCCTATCTGTGCTGCTTCCCTTAAAGCGTGATGCAGATCCCATTTCCATCTTCTTGCACCATTGACTGATGCTAGAATACAAATAAAACAAAGGGAAACACTGGCTGACTGACAATTAGCTGAGCTTCCAAAGATGAGGGGCCTGCTCATTAGCTCAGTTATGGGATGAGTCCCGACTGTTTAGGCTCGGGGCCTATCGCCTAAATCGTTTGGTTTTAGTTAGCTCATAACCATAGAAACCACATCTTCGTCGTGGCAGTGGCACTTCACAAAGAAGAGAGGAAAAATATGCACTTATTTGACTGCACAGGACATTATCTAAAGCACGAAGCCTGAGGGCGGTCAGCCATCTCACCTTTCATGGTGTAATATTTTGGGTTTAAGATTTATTAGACTTTCCTTTTTTATCATTATTATAATTACTAAAAAAATATGAACTGCAATTATTTTAGAAAACTATTTTTGAAAGCTAACAGGATTTAGCGAGGCCTTTAAACCTGGATGTTAAATGTGTCATCTCTACAAATTGAAAGAATAATTAAATTTCACCAAATTAATTAAATCTAACACATTAAAGCTTAACTGTGAAATGTTTCACACGTGCTGCTGGATACTCTACAGAGCATGTTCACGCTTGGCGAATCAACAAAAACCAGCCAAAATAAGGGCATGTTTAATGGAAATCGGCACTGTGAAATTCGTTGGAAATTGACGGCTGCAGTCATTAAATCAGTGTTGTATCGAATGGTGAGATAAGTCACATTTTCAAAGCCCCCCCCTCCTCTGAATATGGTTATTACATGGCACTTGTGTCATCTCGTGCTGATGTCTCACCTGTATCTGAGACTGTGTGGTTACAGCTTCCGTCACCACCTCCATGTGGCACCACCATGTTAGTCCGCCCCATACTATGAAGCTGTGAGGGGTGTGGGCCGGGATGGGACAGCGGTGGGGGGTTAGTGTTGGAGCGTACCAATGCCATGCCATCGGGTCCCACTGGTCCACCGCCTGGTCCCATCGGCCCACAGTTACTCATGGAGGAGACCTGCATCTGAGTCATCATGTCGGGGAACTGGACCGGACGAGAAACCAGATGGCCCCCAGAAGCATCCATGTTCTGGCAGTGCTGCATGGCATCGCCCGGGCCACGCAGCCTCTGCTGGACCAGGAGGTTCTGTTGGGGCCCCCCGGTCACCATGCCCGTGCTGTCATTGTAGTGAAGCTGTGCTGTTCCTGGGGTTCCAGACCCAGGGCCGGGGCTAAGGCCTGGACGATGGCAGTTCCCAGCTACGTTGTGGGAACTCTGGCAGCTCATCGATTGGAGGAGCTGGGCCATTGAGGTGTTTGGGTGTAGGTTTCCGATCCGTCCCACTTTTCGCAGCTGTTCAGTGGCGCTTGGCCCGAGCATGTGGTGAGGCCCCACGCCCGGCTTGTTGAGCACACTGTAGGCCATGCTATTACCGTTGTCGTGGTTTGCTGCGCCGCCAGATGACTGTTTCCGTTTGCGCGTGGGATCCCTCTGCTGGGCCATGAGTTTGTCCCTAAGAGCTGCCCGACCGCTCTGACCTTCAGGAGTGTTGAGCAGCATGGTGGAGTTTGGTGGAAGCATGGGGTTTAAAGTGCTGTGTCCCTCCATGCCTCGAGGGCCGCTCATAGAACCGGGGTGCCCACCACCCCCTCCATTACCTCCGCCACCTGCTCCCATGCCTGACATACCAACACCACCCCCAGCCATGCCAGCAGTGCTGTTTCCAGTAGCGCTGAGTTTGTTTTGATTTGCTAGCTGTGCTTTGGCTGCAGCTGAGAGGAGACTGCTTGCTGGGAAGGAAGCGGCATTCTGTTGGTTGAGGATCTGGTTTAGGGGCATCCCAAGGAGTCCTGGGTGGCCCTTCTGGGAAGCGCTGGAGGTTGCCAGAGAGGATGATGATGCAGATGAAGAGGTGGGTGAATACATGGGATTGCTGTGCTGATGGGTGCCAACGGGAACCCCCATTCCCTGCATCAGCTGGGAGTCTTTGTACTGATGGAGTGCGTCGGTTTTGTTGGTGGAGGGGCTGGAGGGCATGGCTGGCCTGGGAGATCCCATGGCTGACCTGGGGGAACGAGGAGGAACCTTCATTGTGCCACATGGGGCCTGGTGCCCAGAGGGCATTGCAAAGTTTCCATGGTCCGATGAGGTGGAGGATGAACGTGAGCGATGAGGGGAGGCCTCCATCCTCCCAAGCGTTGGCCCAGTCATATGGACAGGGGATGTAACAGGGGAGGGTGGCATGGAGGAGGCTGGACCACACTGTTGAGTCCTTTGCACATGGCCACCATGCCCCACAGGGCCGGGCTTCACTGTGGGTAAAGGTAGGTTGCTTGGCAGGGGAACAATTGCAGGAGGGGGTATGTTTACATTCATCATTGGTACCTGAGAGTGGATATTAGGCTGGAAGTTGGATGGGGTCGGGGCATTGGCGGGGGGCTGGCTAAGTGGCTTGCTGGGAATTGGGTCTAAGATGCCTAATGGGTCTTTTTCAGAAGTCACTTGCCTTTTCTGAAGAGCACAGGGTGGTGGTATGGATGGCAGCGGTGGTACGGGATGCACAGGAGGCTGCGTTTTGTGGTGAAAAGCTGCACGAGGCATATCCATACCAGGGGGAAAGTTGCTCCGTGGTATGCTCATGTTCATGACAGGGCTTTTGGCAGTGGCCGTTGGGGAGAGGGGCGTGCTAGTCCTCCCTGTCATGGCACAGGATGGCTGTCCTGCAGGAGAGCCATGGAGCATGACACTTGGTGGGGAAAGAGGTGTCCTCGTATTTCCATGGATGGAGGCTGAACCGGGACTACTGGCTCCAGGAAACCCACAAGGATTTGTCCTTGGAAAGCCTTCAGGGCTACCCAAAGTGTCTGTACTGGGAGACTGAGAGCCATCTCCATAGAGTTTAGCACTGGAGGGAGGTGGGCTTAGCATGCTTCCATATCCGGCCCGGTAAGGGGATTTTGGACCAGGCTCCCCACTGCCCAGCCTCTGACCCCTGGAGTATCCAGGGTACAGCTCTGGCTGCTGGTTTCCACTGATATCCTGAGGTGGATACAACCTCTGCTGATGTTGCTGTCCAGCCACCATCATCATCTTATATGGATTTTTGCAGTCAGGGCCAATAGCGTTGGGCGGGCCATCGTGGGGCTTCGTCCTTATTGCTCGTTGAGTTGTGGAATGCACAGCAACCACAGATGACGTACCTGCGAAGGGACAGAAAATGTGTAGGCTTTAATCAATACCAACACTTTGTAAAATATATTTGACAGCACACAAGGCTTTGATGTATAACTTTTTATAAAGCATTTTACAGAAAAAATGAAATATACAGTAGAATTCTGAACTCAATGACTGGATAACTCAATGACTGGATAACAGTCAGCATATAGTCAATTTAGACTATCAACATCAGCCAAACTTGGTGGTAAATTCATATCAGTAGCAAGTTGTAAAGCCAACTGTAGCACCAGTGGCTACTTCACCAAACCTTACAAGGTCTTATGACTGATGGGCGCCATCTAATAACGAAACCCATCAGTTCCTTATGATTTTACATTTTCATGTATTCTTACCTCCTCCTGGACTGGTCAGTGACAGAGGTGGATGTGTCTCCATGCTCTTGTGCAGTGTGGCCACGGCCAAAAGCTTCCTCTTGTGAATGCACAGCTTGGTGACATCCTCATCTGCCTTAACATCCTCTGCTGTCCTCTGCTTGACGGCTGCGCCAGGGTCGAAATTAAACACCTGAGGGGAAACATCAAAGCGAATTCAAGAGTTGTAAATTCATAAATGTGATGCTTAAAAACAAACGTCTTGCCAAAATTTCCACGTTTGATAAAGGCCTAATTCTTTTTGGGAAAACATGCAGTTCATTCAGGAAAAACTAGAATTACCTGAGGTCAGTCAAACATAAAAGTAAGCTTATCACCACATTGGAGAACTAATTTGATGTATCATTTTAGATGCATTGGATAAGGATAATAGTGCTGTGGCTGCTTAATGGTGCCATGTGTCTCCCCTTAAATATTATGTAATTGACAGCCACGTCCTCCAGCACGCTGCAATTCCCCTACACTCATCTCTATGGGATGTCTTAACGGGCACAGACTGCAAAGTATACCAGCTAAGTCGCAGATAAACATCCAAACACCAAATCCTCTGAGTACCATGGCATAAAGTCTTAAGATCTAAAGATCAATTTCAGGCACCCATAAAAGAATGGAGATGGTTAATGGGGTTTACAGATGCTTGTTCTAACCTCATAAACTAAGCTTAAGACAAAATTCCTTGCAAAGCCTACATCAGGGGCATAGTTGTCTATCCAACAGCCATGAAGTGTTGCGGGTAAATTCTGCATAGAGCAAAATGAAAATATAACTCAATGGGCACATCTAAATGCCCCAGTATTTGTCGTGTGGTCCCTCAGAGATCAGTGAAGTGGCCAGCCTGAATTTATGTCATGTACCCCAAGCATATGCAATGAGGCAGTGGATCATGCTGCCAGACAGATTTCTCTGGATATTTCTCATACGTATAAGCAGCAATAAAATGAGCCACTGTGCAGACTCGTAGACACAGAAATTGATTCCCACTGCCAACAACCTCTATCGGAGGGAGGACTACAAGATCTTTAGTGGCCTTTTCAAGATGACATGGGTGACTTTTTGACACTTAAAAGGTAAGGGGAAAAATGCATTAACAGTACAGAAAGGTAATAAATCGTGTTAGATAGTAGTAATTTAAAGAGGCTCTGACCACTACACACCGATTTGACTGTTCTTCCAGGCACATCTCTTTGGCTGTAACGTGAGCACAGACACTATATTTTTTCTTTTCAAGAACTAATAAGGAACCCTTTTTCATTCTAAAATGAGCTGATCTTTCGGGCTTGGCTGCAAATGGAAAATCTCTGTGTGAGCACTGTGTTTTAAAAGAATAAGTGGAGAGATGCTACCTTGTGGAGGATGAGCGGGCACTCCAGGCCGCATTTGCAGGTTCCATCTGCCAGCAGGTAGGTCTTCACCTGCTCCAAGCTGGACAGCGCAGAGCCGCTGGGACTGTACACAGAAAACAACCGGGTGAGATGGAGGCTGGCGACAGTCCACAGCACAAGGACTCCTTCTACTGTTTGGTGGATATCTGAAGAAATCTACTGTTTTTCTCTCTAACCCACTATTTCTTTGTTGTCCAGTGGACAGAATTTCAATCTAAGTTCTTCTATGAACAGCATATATGCTTTCCATTTACGTCCTTCCATAATTGTTGGCATTTAATTTAATTTGCACAGCATGATTTACAATCTTTAGGGAGGGTTCTAAATCTTCTTTTTTGGAAAGAAAAAGTCGAAAATATCAGTTGCAGCAGCTTGATGAGTTCTGCAAAAAACTCTCTTCAAGAGCCAGGTAATTTGCATGTTCAGACTGGTTTATCAATCCATTTTAGGGGATTGCTTTGTTTTTCCAATTAGGGGCCTTTAATACAATCATTAACTTCAGTTATTCTATTAATGTCACGTTTACACACCTCCCATTGAAAAATAAACTTGAACATTCTGGCAATTATTGGACATATTTCTGTCTTCTTCTGTTTTATGAATGTAAAACAGGATCTGCAGAGAGACTTAAAGTTAACAATCAGAATTGTGATCAGGAGGTCAGCCATTAGCAGAGCTATTTTAATCTTTGAACAGAACAAAAACAGGGCTCTATGTCCAAAAGGAAGAGGGGGGAAGCTATGTAAACTAGCTCCAGTAAAATGGATGACCAGCAGGCAGTATATACAGCTTTAATGCTGGCCACTGAGCAAAACAACCAGTCACAGCCGCTAAGACATCCACAACCCCCGCCCCCCCCCCTTCCTGAGGAGAAATGCACACTGCAAATGTAATAAAACATCAGCAAATACAAGTGTGCTGTGACAGTATCAGGCCACGGTCACAGAAGAAGACCGGATTCTTTCCAGTGCCCAAAATAAACTCGACACCAGCCAACTGTTATAGTTCATTGTGGCAGGCGAATCCGCGTGCCAGCGAGGACGCCGACACGACATGGTGACCGGTAAAGGATCCAACTCATTAGGCTGTCCCTGTGGCCCCAGCTGAGTAGACTTTGTTCATGAATGACTGGGTTCTTAAAGGGGTTCATGGGCTTGTATTTACAATCTGTGGAAGCACGTGCACAGCAGTTACCTGCGTCAACAGCCTGTTCATTGCGGTGCAAGCAGTAGCCGCCTCCCCCAGAAGTATTATATTTTACAGAGATTTGCAGCTCGCAAACTGCGGCTTTGCCGTAGCGGTTGAGAGAAACGAGCGTGACTCAACATGGCAAGCGGCGTGGTCGTAAAGCCGCTGTGCTTCTGTTCAGCCAGTGCAGAGCCAAAACAATTAAAGAAGCTCTGACCGAGTGTGGACAGTAAACAGAACCTGTTGGGCACCGAAAACTAGTCCACTTTTCGGGCACTACAAGTTTAACGGATGCAAAACGATAACTTAAAACCCACTTAGTCCCTCCAGAACAGTCAGCTCTATGATAATTTAGTAGCATGCTATGTGGCTGCACATCCCTCAGTTGCTCAATATGGAAAGATAACAGCATGGAAAAGAAATGTAATGGGATTATGTATGAATATTATATATAAATACTTATACAAATATTTATGCTTAAGTAAAGCATAAATAATGCACAACATGATCTGAAACTGGAACTGTGGGTCAGGTTATTGATTCAAATGCATTGTACAGAGATTATCAAAGGTAAAAGAAAAAAAACAAGACAAAATACACCCATCTTTTGAGAGCACTTTCAAAATTTCAAAATTTGATCTCTGATAGGATGGGCCAGGATGGCATCTTCAATGACACACGTTGAACTTTGAGAGGGCACTGTTAAATTTTGCTTCACTGACACACAGCTGGCTGTGGGGCTCTGTAAACTAAAAGCAACAAACTGAGAAAAGAAAACAAAACCCCCACTGATTTCACCCTTCACAGCCTGATAAAAAAATAATCAAGTGGCCTAATTATCTCAGAAATTTGCAATTTTACAGCGCAGCCCGAAACATTACCATCCCTTCATGCTATGCTAGCTTAAGGCCGTGTCTCTTGGGAGGTGGCAGTGCTCATTGGAGGTAATTTTAGCTCTTTGCTTTAGTTTGTAAAAAAAGGTAGAAGGCTTAAAAGACTTCTTCTTAAAAACGAGAGGTGCTACAGAAATGGTCAAGTGAACTGGTGAGGATTTCTTATTTTGGTGAATGTGGTTTGTTGAGGTTTTCTTACCTTACATACACGACCCCTCCGCCATGCTCTGCCTTGCGCTGCCAGCCTATTGGGACCTGGACAGGGACGGCCTGCCTGTCGTCCCCCGCCTCGCAGTCCTTTCCGCCATTCATTGCTCCACTGGTTTTACACTCGACACCACAGCGGTATATATATCAGACATCAACCAGTGTCTTTGCGATGCACGTCATGTTCCAGAGGTCGTGGTGGAGGTGCTGCTGGTGGGTGGGTGGGGGGGTGTTATGAAGAAAGAAGAAGAAGAGGCGCAGGGTGGCAAGAGTATGCTACAATATGGGACTCTGGGGTGGTTGGGCGGGTAGGGTGAGGCGAGCTCACGGCAGACCCTACCCTTTGAGCTGCTTCATGGCTACGGCGTTGAAAGGCGCATGGACTCCCATCACTGTATCTGCTCATTCGGAGTCATCAAACTCAGAAAGATACCAGCTGAAACGAAAGGGATTGGGGGATGGGGTGGGAGGTTGGGACATGGGGTGGGGGGGGGGGTTGACGTGCGTTCTGCCGTTAGGAAGTCCCTTTATCAATTATCTTTCGGCATTCGCCTTTCACCAGCCAGAACACAGTCCCTCAATCAATTATGGAGAGCATGTTCAACATCTTGGGCTCCCAACACAGTTGGGTCGTGGTGTTCCCATGGTTCCTGTGAGGAAAGAGGAGACAAAACAGGACATTTAAATTTTCCCTGTCCCAATTTGTTAAACTTGCGCACACACAGGGGTACCCCGCTTATCACTAGGGTTTTGGTCCCAGATCCCACCACCACAATAGACGAATACCCGCAAAGTAGTAAGTTAATCTTTACTCATGGGTATTTCAAAGCTTTATAAAGCCCCCCAAAACCCGGTTGGTCACCTGCCATTCATCAGCCAATATTGTAGCATATCATGCGATAGTGCTGAAAATCTCTGACATAAAATTATTTGTATGCAATTTACAAATCTGTGATGCTGTGATATGATGAGAGACTAATGTGTGTATTCAATCACTCAGGTAACAAAACCGTTGCGAATAAACAGTTAAAGCTGCTTGTGAGTGGAGGAGTTGTTTGACTGCTGGTTGGTAGCTCCAGGATGGTTCCAACACTGGACCAATTGTGTTACATCATTGTGTCTGTGTGGTTTTGACAGCTCTGATTTAGCAATTTTGTTCAGATCCCATCGTAAACAGCAGTTGCCATCTTTCAGGACACTAACCTACGCGTAGCCCTGAAATTCATTCATCTATTAACCTTTCCGCTTATTTTTCGATTTCACTTTATGACTGACAACTGGATTTTTTTGTGCAGCATTAATTCCTACATGTTTATTATTTCTCTTTACAAATTCCCACACCTATTTCCAGAAAATCCTGTACTTTTTGGACTGTGATCTAAAATACAAAACAGATCTGTGGTTTTGAGACAAAAATCGAAATGTGACCGGTGATGGAGAACAGATAGTCATCTCAATTTCACGCTGTAAAAATATGCTAATATGCACCCCCCACCCCCCAAAGAATGAAGTTTAAATGCTATTGGATTCCCATCGGGGCTCGTAAATCGGTCTGAATTTAGTCCATAAATGATGGAGCTCCATACAAAGCCTCCCTCCTCCCGGCCGCTGGTGCTGCTGACTCATAAGTCGCCTATGAGCTGCCCAGACCAAACCCAGAGACTCTGCCACAGAGTAAAATCGAGACAGTGTTTAAAAAGGTATGCTGTTTATCAGCAGAGACACTAGCATCATCTCAGGAGAGCTTTGTGGCAATCCATCAGTGAAAACACAGCCTCATTAAAATATTATTTCCCACAGCCCTGCGTTTGGCAAAGACAGAGGTGACAAAAGCTGTTCATCTTATAAGAAAAAATAAGTTAATACCTTTCCATTGAATCGGCAGAGCAGCAATGTTGTTTGAGGATATCTCCAGCTGTGACAAATGCTTCTTTTTTGTATTCCATCTTTTTTTATTGTATCAGAGGAGGATACTGAGAGAAAGGGGGAGTAATGCGACGAGCAAGTTAATGTTAACATAACCTTCGGCAAAGCAACACCCCTCTGAATCTGCTTCTAATGTGAGAGCTTTCATTTAAATCTTAGTTTTCAAAGATTTTACCCCACAGTATCCAAATGAAGATTATTCCTCACATTTACTGAGGATTAAAGCCTTTTTAAAAGGAAAAGACACAGAAAGCAGCAGCAGAGTCAACTAAAGAATTTTTTTTAAATGTAAAAACTGGTTCCTTCAAGCTGGACAGGCTACAATTGTTTTGTCATGTGTTAACAGGTTATGATAACTTCTTGAGTCTGTGCTGCTGCATGTCGTATTAAGCATACAGAACACAAACATCGTGAAACAACTAGGTCCGAGTAAAAGATTACTGAGGTAACAGTAAATTGTTGGGCTGATTTCGTCCTCTTTGGCTCCATGCACAGCCACATGGATTCATTTAATTTGATGGAGTATTGTCGAACCCACAAAAGATGCCAAGAAACGCGCACAAAAATGCCAAACAGATCTTTGTAACCACACCAAGAATCTTTGGAAAATGGGAATAAAGATTTTGCATCTTTGTAATCAAAACGGTAAGCTATATTTGCACCATGGGGATGGAAAATAAAATGAATGTCTGGAGCCAGTCATAAACATTTCTTTAAAATGTTAAGTCATAAGTACAAATTTCATTGGCTGCAGGCCTGTACTAATGTCACAGTTAAGCTCAGCACAAAATAGCAAGCAGTCATGGCTCCTTATTTTGCAACAGTCTGGCCCCCCGAATAAATGGAGTTGTTAGACTTTTCCTGGACTGCATATACCAGATTGGGGATATTGATCAATAATCAGTTCAACATCTTCCAAAACGTACGCATTCAAACTTATCCATACTTCTATTGGAGTCTTCTGATGGTGGAAAACATACACCGACTGACTAATTTGAAATTTTCAATGTTTGACACGCTGAACTCTCACTCTTGCACAGAATACCCGTCTCACAAATTAAACTTTTACACGCCATCATATCCTTAACTCCCCTTTCTCTCACAGTGAACCACAAATAAATGGCATATGATGTATAGACGTTCAGAAATGTTAGCCAACTTTTCCTCTTGGTAGGCTATTTTTCAGTGACTCCAAAACCAAAAATTGAAGTGAAGCTTTGCCTGGACTTTGGACGTATTGATACACTGTACACGTCACAGGTGAACATGTAGATGGCTCAACAAAACAGATTTGAGGAGTGATGATGCCTCGTAGTTGCACATATCTATCCATTCGCAACAAGACTGATCCTAGGTAACTAAAACTATATTTCTGAAACTAGCACCACGCATACCACATTTATTCCAGCAAAAACAGTCTGAATGAAAACAATTCCATGGTCCTTTCCTCCTTGATATGCCCACAAAAAACTAAACAAAAAAAAACTGCTGCTATGGCTAACATTAGCTCTCTTCACACCTGCTGCTCAGTCAGGTGAGGTGAAAGTAATCAATGGATACGTGTCACAAAATTAGACACAAAAGGCTTCTTCATTTCTCTGCAGCAGGACAGTCACGGTTAAGGAAAGTTTTTTTTTTTTTTCAGGTTAGTGTCTAATAGATAGATTTTTATTTTAGTTGAAAACAGCCTTCAGTGCTGGTTCAGGACAGGTGGTGGCCATGGTTCAACCAAAGAGCTGGTGTGGTTTTCCATACAAGCTGAGAGCCTTTAGAAAATCACATTATTACAGCTATTTAAACATCTCCAACACATTTAACTCTCCTCCAGCGCAGAAAGGAAGTCAATCAATATGGAAAGAAAGCGAAAATAATACAAATTTTGACTTAAGAAAAACAACCAAATTCCTTTTTTTAAAAGTGGTTAGAGGGGTGAGAACACTTCCTTACAATGAGTTATGTTTATGAACATTGATTAATGTAATCTATACAAGTTTCCAGTGGAAATGTATTAACAATCAGTGTTCCATTTTAATTTCTATGGGATAAAAATGTCAGTGTTTAAAACTTTGATGCTAACTAATATGCGATTCTGTGGTTAAATACACTTAATAAATAAACAGTGCAATGAGCATTGTTTGTTTTAGTCATAGCGAAATCTTCAAGTGAAAAGGGTTGATGGATGCACCTGCCATTGCTACAGAAACAGAGGAGATCATTTTTGGTGTTGCTCAATTAGAAAGTAAAAAAAAAGAAGGATTTATTCCAAATATTTTCTGAAACATGAACAAAGGAGGAAATCTTGAAAGTAATCCACAAACAACAAGCTCCATTCTGCTACAAGTTTTGTTCCCTGCGTGCGTTGTCATCAGCCCGACAACATCAGTGCAGAGTCGTTGATGTCTGCGATTAAGATGAGATGGCAGAAATAATGGAGAAAGTAGGTTTTGAGCTAGCGAAGGACTGGAAAAAAAAAAAAATGTCGTGGCATCGATGGAAACAACGTCGTTCTTGGGCACCTGAGTTGGCCTGCCAGCTCTACACAGGCTGGTTAATGCAGAAAAAGGCCGCCGAGGATGAACAGCAACGCGCCCTCAAAAGGGAATAAAAGAAACGTTTTAGATGAGAAATCACATCAAAATGTCAGCTGAGCCACAGCCGAGGATGCTCGAGCAGCTAAATCTGTGGTCCATAAAGGATGGCAGTTTATGCAAATCAAAACCATCAATCTTCACATTTCAAGCTACTTGTGTGCATTTCATAACACGTTTTAAGGTAAGGAGTGCCCGAGATACATTTAGTGAATTTAACTATTTTAAATGACAACAAAATGCCTCTATTATCTTAAAAATATCTGTCACCATTAGTGCCAGAAATCTTTATTTCTCCTTTGTTAAATTTTTCCTAGTGTGCTTTTTTTAAGACGATGGCTTCGAACCAAGCGGATGGGGCTTCTGTTAGTGTTAAATGAATAAGGCAAATTAGAAAAGATTGCAGCGGCGAGGCGAGCTGTTTTTGGATCTTTAAAAATCAAGGGAACACAATTATTGTTCAGCAGAAATTTTTTGACCAAAAGCGTTTGACATAAAACCTGTCTCAATGTAATTTGAGGCCCCGGTTGCTGCTGTGTGTTTAGATGCAGGCAGATGACAAAAGGCAAAGATAATTTCAGGTAACTTGGACAGATTCCCTGATATTTTCTTAAATATCAGGGAAAATGGAGTTGGTTTTAATTCGATATTTCTATATGTTTCACCATAAGAGATATAAAGAATTTCATGAATAGGGATCGGTGCAGTTTTTAGTGGCTTAGTTTTGGGGAAAAATGCTTTACATTCAGAAGGTTAAAAGACCTTATGTGAACATTTTCTGCCAAAACACATACAAACAACATACTTGTGTTCTGGTTGGCGAGTCTTGGATTTATGAGACGACAAAATGAGGGGCTAAGATAATAATATTTGAGGCAATTATACCATATGTCATTAGGTTTCATCATACTGTTTATATACCTGATGGTCATTGCACCCACTCAAAGCTAGCACAAAGTAGACTGACTTTTCTTCAAAAAATAAAAAGTGGTGACTTTATAATATAAAAACAACATAAGCTGGTTTGTGTGAAAAATATCAATAACAGGATGGAGAGTACTTACGATAAATCCCAGAAGCTGTATCGTGTAACATTAAGGATATAAGGTTGACTGGGCACCTCGGGTCAAAGCTATAATCAGGAATGCTCCAGAATGCATGTTTATCATCTGTTTGTGAATATCGAGCTGAATAAATCGTTGCACAGTTCACTTTGCCACTTTTAATGCAAGGCAGGACCTGCCATTACTTTGGAATCAAGTACCATTGCTCTGTAAAGCATTTGCTGTTTGGAATGTCTAGACCTGGTTGTGGTGGCAAGCAAGGAGAAGCAAACCGCAACACGAAAAAAGACAAGCTGTGCTGATCATCTCCGATTAAACCACAGTATTCAGACATGTCCAATTTAAATAACAGCCGAGGTGAAATCCACAATTATAAACATAGCACTTACATTTAGCTATACCTCCATAGAGTTGGCTAAAGCAGGCATTAGAGGTATATTGTCCCGAATTATACTGCAGCAGCCTTCAAAGTTGACAGCTATGCAAGTTGGCTGAATGACAAGCCTTTACCCCACTATGGGAGAGCACGACAAGCGGTTGTGGACATCACCAAAACAAGCAGATATGCTTAAATGTAAGATAATAGCCAATTAGCTTGGTGAACATTAGCCAGGCTGCCCATCAACTCTGCCAAATGTTGCTTTAATAGCATTTTGGGGACGTTTGTTAAGCCTTTATTGCCCTTCGTTTGTGGAAACTGGAGACATAAAGCTCAGACTTTGCGGGCCCTCGCGTTAAAAAGCACCGTGTCAACAAGCGGTATCAGTCCTGTCTGTCTGCTTTTTGATGCATTGGACACAGCATCAAAACTAGCTGGGGGTTAGCATGCCAAGCGTCAGCTGTCTAGCTACCGTTACTTAGCTAGCCTGCTAGCTTGTTGTAACGAAAATGAATTACACGGTAAGCTCCGCTATGCTAAGAACATTATAACATTCAATTTGATGAACGTAACCAGGTTCGTGCACACTGATGACTCTCAGCCCAATTTCTGACAAGTAATTATCGACGTAATGCAGCTAGGCCCGCTTTAGGTTTCGAGCCAAGGGGCCAGGCAAGGGCCAGGCCGACTTAGCACTGGATAGCTTAGCCTGCTAGCTACAACCGTGCAAACCGTTGCGTTTGCAGAGGAACAGCGAAGAAGAAGAGGGAGACGCTTTTCAGGCACTAACGTTTCTGTCTGTGTCAAATCAAACCGTAAACTGTCCATTCTCATCTAGACAGGCTCGCGGATAGTTATCGGATCTGAGAGTTGAACGAATTAGCACTAGAGCGTTTCTGAGGCAAATAAAAATAATATGAAGAAGCCTACCCATTAGTTCTCTGCTTCTGCTGGTTCTCCTACACTGGAATATTGGAAATGATGGAGAGCTACACCGCGCATGCGCAGCAGGGGCAGCCAGCAGATGGGAGAGGTGATGCACGTTCCCTCCAGAGCGCACATACGTGAGCCCTGTATGGCAAAAAAGTTGGGAATAAACCCGTTTCACGAACAGGGAACAGCTGGATACGTGGGTGGGATGACTCACAGAGCCGCAGCAAGGTGGCACCGAGACGCAAAGTTAACAGTGGTGGTCAAAGCCGACCCGTAATTCAGAAAACACAAAACATGAGAAAACGTGAAAAAATATATATTATTAAGCATAGCACATCACAAAAAGATACAAAACATGTTCTGAGAAATACAAACTAACCTAGACAAAAACTTTGAAGTGATGAATTCACACTGGAGAGGAACAGTTGGCACAAGAAAAATGGCAGCTTTGCCAGTTTGTCCAATACTGGTAGTTATTGGGCTACTTTGTTGGAATACTCAACATTTTCATTTCACTGAATATTTGTGAAAATATTTTTAATGATTAGTCTTTAACATTTTTAGTCAACTACAGTGATGTCTTTCAACAGAAATACATTTCTTCTGTTAGAACAGAAAAGGAAATGCTGAGAGTAATGTCAGTTTAGAGAAGTCTCTCAGACTATTGAAATATCCTTTTTTTCCCCACCTCAAACACGTATTTCAGCTGCAACATTGCTCACTGTCAAGCTTACAAATAAAAAAAAACTGTGTTAATAAAGCCAAAAGTCATGCTCGAATAAGATTGGTAAACAAGGAATTCAGAGGATGCGACTCTGAAGGTCAAACCCGAGGAGATATTGAATAGGTTTAGTGTGCAGCTTCCGCTGAGGGGGAGTTCTGAGTTTTTTTTGTCTTTTGTATGTTTGTTTTTTAAGGCCAAACGGTGAAGTGAAAATGTGAGCTGAAGGTCACATTTTACGGTAATGGGACAGGATAAATGGATATGCACATGATTTGTATGATATCTGTCAGTTTGTGGGGTTTTTTTCCTTATCAGCCATCAGAAGTGTTAATTTTAAATGAGTAGCATGTATTTCAACATGAAACATCCACTTATATTGACAGACCAATGATAGTACTACAATAACAAATATTTGTGACACTTCATATTTGAGCTGATCTTCACGTATGTCTTTGACTCTTTGTCCTTGTCGTCTTAATATGTACACAAACATGGTTTATTACTTCTCTTTTCAAGTTAAATTCATTCTTTTCATTTCCAAACGTATTCTTCCCTATTCCGCTCATCAGCCAATCAGATCGGAGATAGAGTCAAAGCAGGAAGTCGTCATCGTGAGCGGAACACTGTTCCCGCGAAGATTGAGAAGCTCTGCTGTTGTTTCTACAGGTACGTGGCTTTATAAACGACAGACTACACACATGTTATACATGTTGTTACTTTATCTACCCAGTTTGAGACCAGCAACTTAGAAGCTCAGCGGCTGATTGTTCATTAGTGCGATTGTCCTTGTGTTGAGCCCTGGTGACGAGTGTTGCAGCGCTTAGAAAACGTGACCCAAGATCCCATAAGCAAAACAACAACGATTAGTTCATCCACTCGTGTCGTTAGACGTGAACCCACTTTTAATCCAACGTGGGGACGATTTCAGAGAATCAAGGGTCGCTTGATTCGGCATTAACTTGGCAAACAAAAAGTTATATTAAGATGAACTATTTTCAAGTGGAAATATAAAACAAAGACAGGAGCCGTAGATCAAAATCAATGCCAATTTGAGCTGTCGTGGACCTAATGATTTATGAAGATTCCAAATCAGACTGAAATAATAATATCGTTGAAGCCTATATTTGTATAGGCTATGCTGCTGATGTTTCCGTAAGTATGTTTGTTGAGCGCTAAAAACTGCAATGAATTCCCTGTCTTAAACAATTAATATGTTTTGCTGTGTAGAGTCACCTTATTATGAGTAAAAGAAAAGGAAAAGACACCCATCTGCCAATAGGAGAATGCATCACTCAGGTTTGTCTCAGAAAACACAAACTAATAGTCTCCTCTTTAGATTTCAGTCATTCTGAAATGAGAATGCTTTCATTTCTCTGCCATTTGTTCGTTACCCACCTTTATCAACAGGCTCAACAGATTTTGAGGGAGCGGTTTTGCCAGCGGAAGCTTCCTGACAGGCCTGAGGGCGTGGAGGCTCAACACAGGTAGGCTTTCCTTTGTGACACTCGAGGCAACATATTTAGAAATGGACATTTTATTCCATGAAACACTGCAGAATGTCGTCAAAATGAAATGTTTGATATGCTAAAAGAGAGGAACTATGAAAGTGTGGGGATGTTGCAGTGTTGCAGCTCAGGGTAATTGGTCTATTAGTGAGAAAGGATTTTTTTAAAAGCATGCATCACCATTTCCACCAAAGCCACAGAGCAAACCTTTAAATAGCGAAAGAAAAGACCTGGAGTTTTCAATGTGCATTTCCGTGCCCCAGTTCAGTCTCACGGGCTGATGTGCGTTTGTCCTTATTACTGGTTTAGCAGAGAGTTCCCTTTTTAACACAGAAAATACAAATGGGGAGGAAAATCTGTCACATCCTTTTTTCCCGTAACTGTATTTAAAATGACGTCTCCAGACGCCTCCTGGAGCTGCTGAGGCGGACAGCCATCCACGGGGAGAGTAACTCTGTGCTAATCGTCGGCCCCAGAGGAGCCGGGAAAACCACGGTGAGCCCCCACAAGCTTTGTGTTTACACAAAAAAATTAATTAAAGGAAAAAAAACAGTCAGAGATGATGAATGATGTCATGCTGGTGTCTGCAGCTGCTCAGGTGTGTGCTGAGGGAGCTGCTGGAGGACAAGGATGTGCAGAAAAACCTTCTACAGGTTCATCTCAACGGTGAGATTAGCCTTTAATGTGTTTTGCTGCACGTTTCATGTATCTTTGACTTACCTTGGGCCCTCTTTGCCGTAGGTCTGCTACAGACCGACGACAGGATAGCGCTAAAGGAAATAACGAGGCAGCTCCAGCTGGAAAATGTCGTCGGTGACAAAGTGTTTGTGCGTATTAACTTCTTTTTAAAAAAAAAAATTTTATTCAGACAACTCTGACGAAAAAAGCTGCTGGAACGAAAACATGTTTTTTCGGACTCGTTTCAGGGGAGTTTTGCGGAAAACTTGGCTTTCTTGCTGGAGGCGCTGAAAAAAGGTGAGAAAAAGGGATTGTGGGTAAACGGTTTGAGGCCTTTTTGGAAGCGGCGGGGCTGACGCGCGCACATGCTGCTTCTGGTGCCGTCAAGGTGACCGCAGCAGCAGCCGGCCGGTGCTGTTCGTCCTGGACGAGTTCGACCTGTTCGCCCACCACAAGAACCAGACGCTGCTCTACAACCTGTTCGACGTCTCCCAGTCGGCCCAGGCGCCCGTCGCAGTGGTCGGCCTCACCTGCCGACTGGTGAGCCTTTAAAGGAATTTTTAAATAATAGGACCTCCGTCAGAGGCTGGACCTGGAGATGAATTTTTGCGTGGTTTTGGCTCAGGACGTTTTGGAGCTGCTGGAGAAGCGGGTGAAGTCGCGGTTTTCCCACCGACAGATCCACCTGCTGAGCAGCCTGACGTTCCCTCAGTACCTGGAGCGCGTCCGGGCCCAGCTCAGCCTTCCCGACCACTTCCCCGACCCGAATTTTGCCCAGGAGTGGAACGCCGACGTAAAGGTGGAACGAAACAATCTTTATTGGTGGCGGGGGGAAAAAAAAAAAAAAAAAAAAGCTTATGTTGTCATTTTGTTCGTGCATTTACAGTCTCTCTTGTGTTTACAGACTCTCTGCGAGGACAAATCAGTTGAGGAAGTTCTGCAAAGACACTTCAACTCCAGCAAAGACTTCCGCTCCTTGCACACGCTGCTGGTAAGGCTAACCGGCATCTCACCTCTCGTCGCGGTCGGCAGCACCCGGGTAATCGAACATCCCGTCTGGAATAACCCTTTTCAGCTCCCGTGCCTGTGCCGCGTCTCTGTCTCCAAACCCTCCATCAGACCGGCTGATTTGCTGGATGCCAGCCGCCTGTGCCTCGCTGATGCAAAAGCAAACATGCTCCATGGTAAAGAAAGAAGAAAAAAAAAAAAGCCCAAAACAAATAGAAAAAATTAGACGCGTCATCCTGTAAACGCCACCGAAAAGCTCTTCTTTCTTTTGGGTTTTGCTTCTGCTTCGTAGGGCTTTCAATCTTGGAGCTGTGCCTCGTCATCGCCATGAAACACCTCCATGACGTCTACGAGGGGGAGCCCTTCAATCTCCAGATGGTTCATAATGGTACGCCCACACATTTAAAAGAAGAGGGGGGAGGGGGGGAGAAAGAAAGGGGATTTTTCTCATGTTTTTTCTGCCGCACGCGTCTGCCACGTTTAGAGTTCAAGAAGTTCCTGCAGAGGAAGTCCAACTCCATGTACAACTTTGAGCAGCCCGTTGTGATGAAGGTGAGGACGACAGGAACGAAACGCAACAAAGAAAATGGGTTTGGAAAAAAAACTAAACGTGTCGCCCCTCGTTGCGTCCCATCGCCCCCCGCAGGCCTTCGAGCACCTCCAGCAGCTGGAGCTGATCCGGCCCGTGGACGGCTCCTCGGCCAAAACGCAGAGGGAGTACCAGCTGATGCGCCTCATGCTGGACCACAGCCAGATCATGGAGGCGCTACAGAAGTACCCCCAGTGCCCCACCGACGTCAAACAGTGGGCCATGTCGGCGTTCGCCTAACGCCAACTGTAAATGTCTCTGTAAATGTCTGTAAGGTTTGATTGTAAATGCAAAAATTATTCAATAAAAAAAAAAAAGGTTAACTTTTTGGATATGGAGTTAATTGAACTATTTTAAAAAAAAGTAATTTTCCTGTTAAAATTTCTACTTTTAACAGGTATCTTTGATTTAAAAAGTCATTTTTATTGTCAGTCTGGAAGTCTTAAAAAAACAATTTGATAAAACACAGAAATAGTTAAAATGGTTTAACATTCTTCTAAAGGTCATAAAGAGCTGATGTTCAGGTTGTGATGGGGTCAGATCTTTGCTTAGCTAGCTGCTGCCACCTGGTGGAGGATTTCTGCACTCAGAACAAACTTCACCTTTATGTGGGATGTTTTTTTTTTTTTACATATCCATAGCTCAAACACCATCACAAAAAAGAGGTGCGCTAACTGGGAATGTTTTGGGGTATCTGTGCTAAAAAACTAAAACTTTTCTAGATTTTAAGCCACGGCTTTGCGTTCTGACTCGCATTTCGGGGTTTGGGTTCAATCTCGGAGCCCAATCAAAGTGACAAGAAGAAAGGACATAAACATCCACAATCTAAAAACACATTTATTTACAACACGTGGATAACTTCAGCTGATAAAAACCATGGGTGGCCGACGTTAGCCGCGAGCCACAGCGCTGACCGGGGACCACCACTCTATTCTGTGACAATGGATCTGGGGGGGGGGGGGGGGGTCTTTATTTTTCTTCAAAGTAATCTCTCTCTTTTCTCTCTGCAGCTGGTTACTCGGGTTCCGCTGGTTGGAAACCCAGCGGGACACTCCTTCCCTTTCACTTCATGTCAACGCTTTCCAGTTTGAAAATATCAGACCTTCGTTTTTAAAAAAAAATCTTTTTTCACAGTAAAATGAAAATTTACAGTCACATGTATCAGGAGGAAAGGAATCGTCACCATCGGATAGACTGCAGATCTCAGGTCAGCGCTGCCTCAGAAAGTCTTGAGAGATGTGGGATTTTAAAAAAAAACTGATTGCAGTGTTTCTTTTTTGTTTTTTTTTCCGTTTTTGTTTTTGTAGAAATTACAGGCCTGGCAGGCAGACTTTTTCAGTCTCAACAGCGAAGTCACTGCAGTTCAATGTTTCCTCTAAAATTCTTACCAAAGAGAAAGAGAAGGGGGGGAAAGAAGAAGGAAAACCGTGATGCTGGAATGAAATACCTGTAGCGGGTGATTGAACTGTCGGATAGGATGGAGGGAGGGGATGGGTGCATATTGCATCCCTGTCAGGGGATCCGACAAGGCTCCTTGAGGAACTCCTCAGGTCGGCATTTCTCGAATTCTAAGTGCTTCTCTGGACCGTTGACCAGCGAGCCTCCAGCTTATAGCTTATGAGGAGCTCAAGTTTGAATTAGTTATCGCATTGTGACGGGGGGGGGGGGGGGGGGTCTTTGACGCAGCGAGGCCACACCCCGCTGAGCCCAAACGCAAGGTGAATGTAGAGGAAACACTGAAGTTCAACACGCACTTATAAAGGTTCAGCTCAAGAGTATATAGTCGATACAGGTATTTTATGTCTGTACAGATCCTAGACTGCTTAAAATAGTAAGGGGGGGGTGGGGCAACAAGACACAAATGATTCACTGGTAGTTTATATGCACAGCCATGAGAGATGCTGGGCTGGTACAAGTCGTGGCAGAAAAATCGCAAAAGCGGGCACACTGGGAGACTCCATTCACACACCTTAACGAGAGGGGATTCACCAGGGCCTGATGTGTGTGTGTATGTGTGTGTTGGGTGTGGGGGGGGGGGGGTGGCCAGAACAGATTGTCCGTAATCACTTGAAAGTGTTGGAAGGGGATTAGATGAATGATTGGAATTGTTCAGGGAAAATCAAGATGCATCCTGGAGACCCGAGGAGAAAAAGGTGGTGAAAAGGCCGGCTGGTTGGTGAACGGGGGGGCCCACGTGCTGCTTTTAGCGTTTTCCCACAGGACAGGGCACAGTCACACGACACCAGCCCAAACGCACAGCCCTCTAAAAGTTACACGGGGCCGGGCTCAAATCCATCAAAGTACACACACTATATATGGAATCCGGGAGTCTGTAGAACATTCATTCTCGGTCTGTTTGTCCATAAGAGTGAATAGAAAGAAGCACGTTACAGTTCATGTCTTTTTACTTTGTCAAATCAACGAAAGTGTTTCCTGAATTAGAACCCACCCCGCAAATCCCACCCCCCACCCAAGAACAAACAAACAACAACCGGTGAGCGTGTCGACTCGTCCCCACTTCATTCCGAGTCACACCTGAGCTCTGACTCCCCCCCCCCCCCCCCCCCCTCCCCAAGAAAAAAAACAAAACAAAACAACCTCAGGCCAGTAAATTAAAAAATAAATACGACATATCAATATGCAAGGTCACGGTTTAAAAAAAAGAAAGAGAAAAAATTAAAATGCTACAAGGTATTTGTATGTGTGTGTGTGTGTGTGTGTGTGTTTTGAAAGTCACTCCTGCAGCTGATCCTACAGAGGTGTAGGGTAGTTTGCGGCACTGGTTGCATATAACTCGCTATAACTTAGAAAAGCATAGTACTGAATCCCTGAATGGTGTTTGTCGCCTGGGGTTGGTTTCCTGAACACGGTTTAAACTCAAAGCTGGATCTCTCCACCGATTCTTCAGTGGCCGCCGCCACTTTGGCAACTAACCCACCAACGATCCGTTCAGCTGCTGAAATACTGCTCAAGTGCAAACCTCGGGTCAAAAGGTGGGGGGGGCGGGGGTAACACTGGTCGTTTCCTCCGCGGAAAAAAACCTCTGCGGTTCTGTTATGGTGGGAAAAAAAGAATAAAAAGTAAGGGGGGGGAACTTCTCCAAAAACCTTCTTTTAAATCTAGTTGGTGAGACACCTGAATGGTCGAAGGCTCTCCATCAACATTTTGAGAAAACGCTCCACCGTTTGAGGGGGGGGGGGGGGTGGCCCCCGGTTTGGGTTGTTTGCCACACTCTACCCCAAAGAAATCCCTGCGAGTGAGGTAGTGCTTATTGAGGGGGGCGCTGGGGTCTGCAGTACTTATCCGTCCCTGACTGGTGGAGCCTGACGAGGACCTTGGAGGATGGCCGTTGGTTCAAAAAGAAAAAAGAAGAAAGAAGAAGAAGAAGAAACGGCGGCAGCAGCAAAAGGAAGCAAACAATGCGAATATTGTTCTGGTGCTACGGTGTGGAAAGAAGACGATGGCTTAGACTTCCTTCAGGTTTGCTGTGTTGTTGCAGAAAAGATGTCTCAGACTCGCTCTGAGGATACCCCCCCCCCCCCCCCGCCGGGCGGTTCAATGGGAAATGTCTTTCGGCTTATTTTGATTACAAAACAAAAAGCCAGTTGGATTTTCTCTGCAACTCAGCCGCTTCTTTTTCTCTCTTTCTCATCTTCCACAATCACTTACGAAGCAGCAGCGTTTTCTCAAAATGCCAAATGCCCCTCCCCCTTCCCTTGACTTTCACCTTTGACTTTAAACCGTGACCACGAACGCCGTCCCAAAGCTTGAGGAGAGACTGCGAGGTCCGCCGGCACCGGTGTTCAACGCCAGCTCAGAGGGAAATAAAAAGAGGTAACAGGAGTGACAGATACATCCGTTTTGCCTGACATCTACAAGAGTAACTACTGTGGATGAGTAGAAATGGCACCGGGATGAACGTGATGGAGAGACTCCCCCCGCCTCGCGCGGGCTGTCCAGCCACTTCTCGAGGCCAACTGAAGGTCCTTAAGAAGTCCTACGTAGTTTCTGCCCCAGTTCACACAGACACACACAAAAAAAAAAGAAAAGCATAGATAGTTTTCGGACCCCAACGGTTAAGATCAACGACGAGCACGGCAGCGAGGGAGGATGGAGAAGGAGGCGGGGGGGCGGTGGGTAGCACAGATTCCTGAGGTGTATCAAAAAACAGAGCGGAAAACTCCTGATAGTATGAGGAATAAAAATAAAAAAAGAAGTGCGTAATTAAATCAAAAGCAAGCTGGCTCATAAAATACATAGGATGGGAGGCAAACTTTAAAAAACAAAACAAAACAAAACTCTTCTTGGCCCCCCGACGTGTCCAGTTCTCATGTTCAAGGTGAAGCTTGTAGGCGGCTGACACAGCAAACCCAAAATAAGGTCAAAAAGAAGGAAGAAAAAAAAGAAAAAGTGACGACCTCATCGATAGTGGGGGTGGTGCGGGGGTGTGTGTGTGTGTGTTTCGTATTGTCAAACAAAACCAGGTTGCGGTTCGAATCATGCGGGGGTAAAAGATACATGGTTTGGAGTGGGGGATGGGGGAACAATGAGGGTGTGGCCACATGTGTGGAAGAGCGGCGGACTCCGTTACCCATGAGCGCCGTGGCTGTGAGAAGGGAGGGGGACTGACTTAAACTGTGTCCATCTGAACTGAGGTATACCTGGTTGAAGGAGGTTTATGGGTTTTTTTTCTGTTTTTATTCTTTTTTTTTGTAATGCTTGAAAATGGACCCCCCCCCACCCCCCTTCCCCTTCGCCACCCCCTTTAGAATAAGCTTGATTACCAAGTTGTCTGGGTCCGATGATACACTATGTACAGCAGCATTACACTATTAACATTCAGAAGCCGTTGCTTATTGGCAGAACGATAGTCGTCTCTTCAAAAAGAACGCACACGAGAAAAACAGCAAATTTATCAAGAGCCGGGCGCTCGTCTTTTTTTTTTTCTCTTTCTCCTTTTCTCTTTTTTCTTCGTTTTGTTTTTTAAACGTTAAAATGAGTGTTTCTCTGCAGGATCTTCTCCCACACGTAAGAAATCCGAGTGGAGCAGGTCGCCCTCCTGTCTGTGTGTGTGTGTGTGTGTGCGTGCGAGCGCGTTTGTGTATTAAAAAAACGATACATGATTAAAGTGTTTGTTGAGCGTCGTTGTAGTCCCTGCGTGTCAGCGACGTCGTATCCTGAGCCGTCTGCTCGGGGTGAGAGTCCCGACGGGTGGGTGGGGGTTTGGGTGGGTGGGGGGGGAAACGTTCGTATCCTCAGGCACACGTTATCCAACACAAAAAAAGAAAAAAAGAAAAGAAAAAGAGGTGGATGTCGACTGTTGCGGTAAGAGGGGCGCAGGGTGCTTCCTGAACGCGCGTAGCGGCCCGCACTTTAAGGAACCCAGAACGGAGGGAGGAAAAAAAAAAAAAAGGTAGAGAAAAAGATAAACTTAAAACGGAAAAAAAAAAAAACACACCAAGCCAACCAACCAGGGTTGGCCAATTATCTCCTCCCGTTGATTTCCGTAAGCTCATCCAGGCGTCGGTTGATTGGCTGATCATAAGCTGGACTCCTTGGGAGGGAGGTCCACGTTTGTCACCATGGTGACTACGGTGACTATCTCCTCAGGGCCGATGATGGGGGCCTGGCGCTGCATTTGGCCGATGCGCTCCTCCACGCAGCCGGCGGACAGGCGGGCCTCGGCCTCGTGGTCCCAGCAGTCCTCGATGGTCTCGCAGAGCATGGCCAGACCCTGAGAGACAAAGGCACACAAGTCAGAGATCTAATTTGTTTGTTTTTTTTAAACCAAAAAACTCACTTCCCAAATGTTTGGAAATATTTCTAAGACTTAAATCTGTAGCTTTTTAATGTATTTTATCCTCGTTAAGCTGATTGGTAAGGGTGCAGATATCGGGTATAAAAGAAGCACCCACCAGTAAAGGGTGAGTCACCATTTTAGCCACACTTCGTCAGAGATGACTAAATAAGCTCTAAACAATATTCATAATACAAAAATGTAAAGATGTTAGGTCTCTCCACAAAAACAGGAAACATTACGCACAAACGATGCGTCATGGAATAGTCATTTGAAAAGACAGCAATTCAGCTTCTGAGGCGTGTCTTGTTGGTATCAACTTGAATTTGTATCCATCCATTTTCCACCGCTGAGTCGGGTCGCGGGGGGCAGCAGCCAAAGCAGGGAAACCCAGACTTCCCTCTCCCCGGCCACTTCAGCCTGCTCCTCCGGGGGTATCCCGAGGCGTTCCCAGGCCAGCCGAGACACATAGTCCTACCAGCGTGTCCTGGGTCTTCCTCTGGGCCTCCTCCCGGTGGGACATGCCCGGAACACCTCACCAGGGAGGCGACCAGGAGGAATCCTTATCAGATGCCCGAGCCACCCCAACTGGCTCCTCTCCACGTGTATATATTATACATTTTTCTGATGGGTTTGTTTTCACGCAATTTTCAGAATTTGCTTGACATCTTTTGGGGTACCAAACACGGTTATAGTGTTTATAGAGCTCACCGCGTGTTTCTGCCAGCAGTCTCGGAGGCACGGCCGCAGCTTCTTGTGCACCACCACCTCCTGCATGTCCTCCAGAGACGGGTGCTGACCCACCTCCTCCTCGAACGGGAGCATGTATTCGTCTACGGGGCCTGTGATCACGCGCACACATTCAACATTTAGCCACATGTTGGGAGACGAGCGCCAGACCAGCAAGGAGGGGGGTGCTCCTGCCGGAGAGCTTACCGTCGGCCGCTGTGCACCGTGAGGCCAGCTCCCAGAGGACCAGGCCGAAGGCGTACATGTCGATGCGCAGGAAGGAGTCGCGCTGGAAGTTGATGGCGCCCTCCAGCACTTCCGGGGCCATGTAGCGCCGCGTCCCAACCTTCGCGGTTTCAAAAAGGAGCGACACGTGAGCCTCAAATCCATCAGAGGATGAAGAGGAAAGAGAAAAAAAAAAAAACTGCGGGACCGAGCATACCTGGCCATGAGTGTCCCCAGCTGATTTCCCAGCCTCAAACTTCAGAGCGAGGCCAAAGTCAGCTATGCAGGCCGTCAGGTTGTTCTTAAGAAGCACGTTCTTGCTCTTAATGTCCCTAAGATAAGACAGGGACCAGTAACACAGTTTGAGCGGAAGAGATCGGAGGGAAGGTGACGCCTGTGTATCAGAAGGCTCGACAGTCATGGCTCTATAAATCAGGCACCTGTGGGCGACAGAGGGTTTGTGGCCGTCCTTGTGTCCTGGGATGTCCTCGTGCAGGTAGGCCAGGCCGCGGGCCGCCGACTGAGCGATGTGGCACAGCTCGTTCCAGGACAGCACGTTGGCCTTCAGGTAGTCTGTCAGAGAGCCCTGGTGAAGAAGAGAGGGAGTTTTCTTACTGAACCACCATAGATGAAACACTGTTAAATATCTAAATAGAAAAACAGACCGACAAATGTGAAATGTTTTTACAGAGAGGGAGGGGTTTAGAGCAACTCCCACCTTTCTATGGCCACAGTAATGGGTAAGTCAACTTAGGCCACACTTCATGGTGAAAAAGTTTTTCACCTCAAGCTTTTTTAAACTACATATTTCATTTGATTTGTTTTGCAGAGTTTACTGGGAATAGCGGAATGATGATGAACCGGAATATTCAATGTGCTTGTGTTGCTGCCTGTTTGATCCCAGTTAATTTCATTCACTTTTCTTTTTTTTGGAGAAGTTTAATTTGACGATTAATCTTCAGGCACACGGTGGTAGACGGCGAGGCTACTGAAGCCATTGCTCTTTTCAATTCAACCTATAATGCAGGCAAAGGCAAATAATCTCTATCAAATCTTACTTCCAGTGTTTGCTCATATATCATTTATGTGACCACAGCACAAGGTCACTTCTCCAGACTGAGATGGAAGCAGTTTGAGGGGCTGGCCACCAGGGGTCAGGCAGCTCCAGCACATGAAGGCAAATCCTATTGTTCTGCTTCAGGATAAACACCTTCCAGTGTGTTCATGAACCCGCACGCAGTCTGTGTTCTTTCCCCTCTTTCGAGTTACCAATCAGTCAATAGGCCTTTGAAAGCCAGCTTTTAATATTCGCACGCCGCACAGATATGAGATTTAAAAAAAAAAAAAAAAAACACAAAAAACAAAACAAGGGGAGTTTTGCCTTTAAAGCAAGTCTCTACACGCAGCGGCTTCGAGCCTTAACGCATAAAGCTGCTTAGATGCATCAAAGCTTGGGGGGGGGACATAAATCAGCACAGGAGGAGACACTGAACTCTGCAATCACAGCCACAGAAATCGGAGCCGTGGCTGTAAAAACGTCTAACATCTGTCAGATGAAGGGGAAAATTGAAGCTCAAAGATCCCCTTACCCCCCCCACCCTAGTTTTTTATGTATTCCTGGTTGATTGTCCGCTCCAGAGAGTTATTTATTCAGCGTTATTTTTCCTGGAGAGCCTTTACAAATCAGACCTGCACTTGTAGCCCCTCCAGGGTTGAGTGGCTTTTTCAAGAGCTGGATTGCTGCTACGCCCCGCAACCTTCAACTTTTTGCAACCTTTCTTTCCACCAGACGGGCTTCTTAAGCACCTAGATTCTCAACTGGAAGGGGGGGGGGGGGGGGCATTCAGGCAAGCCAAGCGTTCAAGAATGGCTCTCCACTTGGTCGGTAATGACCCTCAAAACACAGAGGCACTTAAAGCCTCAAATGCCACAACGGGGACGGGTCGCTCCTCTGCATACGCCATACTCCAGGAAAAAAAGGAAAATACGAGATAAAAAGGCCCGTAAAAAGCATGGATAGGTTCTTTAAACTGAGCCGAATAATTAAACGTCGACTAAAATAATTCATTTGGAGGTCTGGACGCACCTTGTCGTGATAGGCGGTGATGAGCCACAGCTCCAGGTCCAGGTTGTTGTTCCTCTTCTCCACGCCGATGAAGTGGAGGATGTTGTCGTGCTTCATGCCGCTCACGCTGTAGATCTCGTACTCGTTCTGCCAAGACAGCTTGTCCTGCACAGAGACACCTGGTAAGGGGAAGCGCTCGGTTCTCAGACAGAGCTAGCATTAGGGGGGGCGCGGATTCGAGAGGGCAACCTGAATGGGGAAGATCTTCACTGCCACGTGATCGTTCAGTAGCTGGGCCTTCCACACGCAGCCGAAGCGCCCCCTGGCTTTCATCTCGATCAGCTGTAGGGGTTTGTGGCCCATCACGGGGGATGGGGGTGAGAGTCCGGGATCCTGAACAAAGAAACAGAAAAAATAGGCGTTATTTTCTTCCTCTGCATGTTTGAAGAGCATCAGAAAAGCACAGGTTCACATCTTGAGGCTCTTATTTATACGCCGGCTTTACTTTGTTTTAAGCCTTTTTTTTTCCTCTTTTATTTTCACAACTGTGGGTGCGTTGCTGCTTTGTGTCATATTGCGGTTTGTGCCTTCAGTTCAGTTTAAGAGGCGCTCCGGGTTTGTTGTTTTCATCAGGGTGAAGTTTTGTTTTTGTTTATTTGGCAGTGGAGACGCATCAGACCCGGTGGGTCTTTGGATCCATGCTTTTTCAATTAAACGGAAACCCTTCGGGGCAGCAGCAGCAGCAGCAGGGGTGTTGCCGGACGGTTGCCAGTTGGAATCCAATGAGCTAGAGGAAAAGCTTCGAGATCGATGCTATGGATTTCCGCAGACGTACCGAGCGCCTTCAAAATGGCGATGAACGGCCGGCTTGCCAGCTTGACTGGGCACAGAGGCATTTGGGGGAGGGTAAGAATCGGGACCGAGCTCAGCCTAGACCTCAGCTTTGCCACCGCTGTTCCAATTAACTACAGCTTCTTAATGACATTTAAAAAAAAAAAAACAGCTGGGGAAAACACTTTCCATTGCCCTCACGTCCCTGTCCTGCTCATCGGGCACTCGGAATTCTAATTGGGCGTTTCACTCGGCCTTTCCTGACAGTGGCCATCACCAAGCTGCAGCCTCAACAAGCCGATTACGATCTGAGTCAGAAGACAAGATGGTGTACGACGCACAGCCCGATATCCGCAAGCCAGTTGAAAAATTCAATATTAAATAAAAAAAACACACAAAAGCCCCCTGGCACCTGACCCCGGCGGGGTCAAACTTCCAAACGTGCGGCCGTGGTCACGCAGCACCACGTAATACCAGGCAAACAAAGGCCAAGGCGAGGAATCCGAGCGCTCCAAATCTAAAGTGGGTTAAACACAGCTGGCGATGGGGATTAGGCTGATCACTTTCACATGTGACTTCAGAGAAGGACGGAGCAGGGATACATGGACGAGGCACGGCGACCAGAGACGGGTGGGGGGTCGGGAGGGGGTTAAAAAAAAAAGCATGCGGAGTGGGAGTCACATTTCCAAAGAATAAAAATGCAGAGGAGAAAGACGAGCACATGACTGATGGCCTTTGATGAAACCAGATACCCTGCTGTAAAAAAAAAAGAAAGAAAAGAAAATCTCGCCTTTGCCTCCCTGCCACTGTGCGGCGGCTGTCGGCGGGCAGAAGAAGGAGCTCCCTCCCTGTAAAGGCGTTCGTGTTTTCACTTGAACTGAAGGCGCTTGATAAGCTGGAGCACAACTTCGACACCCCAGGGGCCTGCAGGATCCTCTCAGACAGCGATGATATATCAAAAGTGCACGCTTGTCAATCCGGAGTCTGTTTTTCTAACCTCCCATAAAAAAGCCCCCAGTTTCAGTTACAAGCTCGGCTGCAGAGACGTGCCAAGGAGAGAGGGGGTTTAATAAGATGAAAACAACTCGCACCTAGGAGCCTAAAAGGAAGGCTTCAGCACTCGCGCATTACCTTGAGTTCATTTATTGGCAAGGTTTTGGCACCCGGCCTCTCTTAAAGGCAAATACCAGCAGCGTCCAAGAGTTCCCGCTTGCGGCTGACGCCAAAAAGCATTTAAGTGAAAGAGCAGTAAAACGGAAAGAATCAGCCTGGAGTTCTTTCTTTTTTTTTTTAAAACACCTGTCCTGACAGGATTACTGTGGCTACAGGAGTAAACTGTATATCATTTAAGAGCATTTACGAGTTAGGTTTTTATCAAGCGGAAGCTTTACAGCTGATCGTGAACTTTGGCCTTTAAATAAAGTGGTGCAATGTTAATCTCTGACTCTTAATTTGTACGCTTTTCTGAAGGCAGAGATGACATTTTCATGTCGCTCTACGCGTCGGCCTATTTAACTAAAAGCCTTGAAAGAATAAAACATGAAAGGAGAAGCTGGAGTTATTTGCTTCCCCCCTTTTGGGGGGGGGTATACAGAGCAGGCTGTCGGGGCGAGTGCAGGGGAGGGAACGGAGGATTTGAGTGGGAACTCGGCTCATGTTTACTTAGACTAACAGAGAGCTGTGAGGCAGACCCGCTGTCTGCGCACCACTTTCGCACCCAACGCCAGCCAAGCCACGGGGAAAAATGACCCACCGGGGTGCCCAGGTCCGATTTCAGAGAGGGCAAAAAATGGGCTCAAGCTGGCAAACTTTGGAATCTGTCAACAGAAAGAGTCTATAGTTTTATGGTTGGGATTCTTTTTTTTTCCTTTTTTGGGCCAAAACCAGATGAAATTTCCTCCGATTACTGATGCAACATGTGACAAAACCATAGAAGAAGAACACAGTTATGTCAGAGATGTAGCACATGTGGGGTGCATGATCACGAGTAACTAAATACGACAAGAAAGCCGATGGGGGAGCGCGGCCGGGGTTAGCCTTAGGGTTAACCCGCTGTCTGTGAATTTGACACCTGTCAGTGAAAACTTGACGCTTGGGTCCAGCTTTCTGCAGCATCAATTAGGGTTTAACCTCAGATTCGCTCGCTGCACACATTCCTGTCTGATACCGATCTGAAGAATCTCAGTGTCTCCGAGGAGACCTGTCGTGTTGCCTAAAAACAAGAAACTGAAGTTTTCAAAAAGAGAGACTAGGGCAAATATTAGCCGAGCGATCATGATAATCAGCACAAATATCACAGAGAAGGAGGCGCTTTTCATCAAGTGCGGCGAATGAAATGCGAGATCCGAATCCTATCCCCGCGGGGCTAAAAATACTCGCATTGGTCGCAGTACAATACGACGACAGACACCTGACGTCCACCAACATTTGGAACGTAAGGGGTTACAGTTCAGTCGGACGAGTCCACGAGTAAACCCGACGATCTGATGGAGGCAAGGGGCTGCTCTCCTTCTCGTAGCCCTTGCCTGTCTTTTAGGGCTCTGGGCCCGCCCTTAGCCAGGCCGCGGCGGGCCTCCCGCAGGAGCCATCGGATCCGTTGTCCGATCACAGGGCGCCATGGCCTTCAATGGGAGGAGGGCGCATTACACCGAGTCAGCAGACCACAGGAAACAGGAAAACCCAATCTGCTGCTTCACACTGCTGCTCTCCACTTCTTGGCCATCTCCCGTGACCTCATCAGGTTACGCCTTCGTCCATCACATCCAAACCGCCTCGGCTTGGGGGGAGGGGGGGTTGAGTTTTCCTCATTATCATCTTTTTTGAGCACCAAACCAGCACACGGCAATATATCAAAAATGTCAGGTTCAATTTTGCAGGCACAAAGGGAGCAGTCGCTCTGACATCTTTAAGGTCGCGTCCTGTTGCCGGCGCGGCTCTGAAATCTTCAGGCGATCTCGAAAACTACATTTGCCGACATGACCTTCAAAAGGAGTAAACCTGAAGTGACAATAGGCCACAGTTCAAACTTTCACAAAAGGTTCTATTTCAGCAAGCCCCCATTCCACTGTCACGCTCACACTCCAGTTTGATCCATTTTGAGTCAAAGCCCATTTGCAAAAGGGTTTTGTTCCTCTTGTACTTTAGCAATTCATACTCCATGACTTGGAAAAACATTCCACATAAGTGGTAATGCTCCCACTTATGCAAAATGTATCTGCACTCCCCCTCAGTCTGCATACGAGATGGAAAAAGGAAGCCGCGGTTTCAGTTTTAGACACCGCGGCTGTCTCTCCACATAGGCAAACCATAGGTCTCGCAGACACGGCTCTCAAATCTGGGTCACATCACAGTCAGTCTGTTACGTAAAACATCACAGGTGGACATTCATATCGAGAAAAGGGAGGCTGCATTCGGGGCCGCGTGGGC